AATTATCACGCACATAGGCGCTGGCCAGGGCTGGTCAAGTAAGCCATCCACTTGCTTTAATAGTCCTATTAAAAATTTAGACGTGTAAAAAAAATATTGAGTTCAGTTCTATTTTTTCATAGTAATATATTTAAATTGCCATGTGAAGTTTCCCTTTTTTCAAGCTAAGTTTTCATCAGTTTGTACCTATATGAAAAGTTGAAAAAATTAACATATTTTATGAATAATTTAATTTTTTTTACTACAAACACAGGATTGAATGTCTAAACGTTTAGAAATAACTCATTGGGTTTCTAGTAATAGGCAGCGTGAGTTCTCAGCCATGCTCTTGAGTTCACGTGTTGAGTGAAGCAGTTGAAGGATTCGCAAGAAAATAGACTTCACCTGGTGGATTCTAAAGGGATGACTAAAGGGATGGTTGGCGAATATTATAGCAAAAAGAGCCGCTGGTATTGCTGCAATGACTACAGTCATCGTTGTTGACTCAACAGATTTCTGCAATGTTCAGCAATCGCCGCTCAACACAAGTATTTACTACAACAGATATTAAACTAATCGAACCCAACACCTGCGCCACTGCAACATTCCCTAGTAAATGCAGGAAATAAACGCACCGTAAAATCATCGTCATGGGCATTGCCGTAATCTGGGATAGAATGTGATAAATATGTATGGAACCATGGGCATTGTGTGGTGTGAATAGGAAATACAGTGGATGTGAGTTGAAATCACATTATCGGAGGTGGATATGAATTATAACGGTGATGATGATCGAGGAGATGGTGGATAGGTAGATTGATTAGTTGATTTGTGATCCCGGGCGCGTCAGCGGCTAAGGTCATCGGTCCCGTAAGTATAGTGCACGTTTTTTTCTCTGGATGTGACGGTGATCTTCCTCCGTTGGATGGTGAGATCCGGCGCCGACCTACCGTCAGCTAGCGGAGCTTTCCCTTTACCAGGCATCTCCCACCAGCAGGGCACCGCCTCAGCAGGGACAAGCTCTAATCTCTCGACCGGTGTCTCTAAATATTCGGTAGTGTAGTGTATGAGAGTGTAAGCATGTGTAAAGGGCGGGGATAGGTAAAGGAAGTGGAAGAAAAGATCACGCACGATCTGTGGCCCATTTGTTAAGAGTACTGCTTTAGAATTCGCCAGGTGTAGATCAGAAAAACCTCGGAAAAATACTGATCAGAGCAGCTGACCGCTCGAATTGTACTCCAGACAGCGACTAAATTAGAGCTGACAAGCTAGTGTCGGAAATCCTACCACCGTCGGGGCTCGAACCTAGGACCTCCCGGTCAGGAGAACTGCAGGAACATCAGTTGATACCGTGAGTCATTTGTCCCAGAATATTAGTTTCGAGTTATTGGTATTATGATATCAAGATTCGCATTTCGACGGTTCGTGATATGAATATTTAAATGATCGAGTACCTAGTTATCATTGTTCGAGTCATCTAAGTTAACGAAATGTGGGTTCAATTGATTATGTTGTGTTTATGGTCATGTCAACTAATGACCACGACCGTAATAATATCGGACACAGTAATTGGTACCGTTAATGTAGCTTATATATCTAACGATGTGGTAATGTTGCTCCTGCGCTGGAAAGTGATATCCAGTGGCAACCTACACGACTGCCTTCGACATATTCCCCTTACAGATGTCTCCTCTAGTGGGCACCTCATCAAGAGTTAGCGAGTTTCAAAATATCGGGGTTCCAGTTTGCCAGTTTCGAAATATCGGAGTACAAGTTTGCGAGTTTCGAAATATCGGAGTTCCAGTTGGCGAGTTTCGAAATATCGGGGTTCCAGTTTGCGAGTTTCGAAATATCGGGGTTCCAGTTTGGCGAGATTCGAACTTCGGGGGTTCCAGGTTGCGAGATTCGAATATCGGGGTTTCCAGGTTTGCGGAATTCGAAATATCGGGGTTCCAGGTTCGAGATTCGAAATATGGGGGTTCCAGGTTGCGAGTTTCGAAATATGGGGGTTCCATGTTGCGAGTTTGCGAATATCGGGGTTCCAGTTGCGAGTTTCGAATATATCGGGGTTCCAGGTTTGCCGAGTTCGAATATGGGGTTCTGGTTGCGAGATTCGAAATATCGGGAGTTTCTGGTTGCGAGATTCGAAATATGGGGGTTTCTTGTGCGAATCGATATGGGTGTTTTGGTTCGAGATCGAAATGATGGGAGGTTTCTGGTTGCGAGATTCCGAAATATGGGGGTTTCTGGTTGCGAGATTCGAATGATGGGGTTCTGGTTTGCGAGATTCGAAATATCGGGGTTTCTGGTTGCGTAAATCGAATACTCGGGGTTTCTGGTTGCGAAATTCGAAATACGGGGTTCTGGTTGCGATTCGAATGGGGGTCGGGCGAATTGATATGGGGTTTCGAGGTGCGAATTCGAAATATGCGGGGTTTCTGGTTGCGAAGATTCGAATTCGGGGTTTTCTGGTTGCAAAATTCGAAATATGGTTGGTTTCTGGTCGGCGAAATTTCGAAATATGCGGTGGTTTCTTGGTTGCGAAATTCGAAATATGGGGTTTTTGGTTGCGAAATTCGAATATCGGGGTTTGTGCGTTTGCGAAATTCGAAATATCGGGTTTCTGGTTGCGAATTCGAAATATGCGGTTTTCTGGTTGCGAGATTCGAAATATCGGGGTTTCTGGTTGCGAGATTCGAAATATCGGGGTTTCTGGTTGCGGAAATTCGAAATATCGGGGTTTCTGGTTGGAAATTCGAAATATGGGGGTTTCTGGTTGCGAAGTTTCGAAATGATGGTGGTTTTCCTGGTTTGCGAAATTCGAAATATGGGTGGTTTCTGGTCTTGCGAAATTTCGAAACTATGGGTGTTTCTGGGTTGCGAAAGATCGAAATATCGGGGTTTCCTGGTTGGCATTCGTCAATATGGGGTTTCTGGTTGCGAAATTCGATAGTCTTGGAGATTGGAATGGGGTTTGGTTGCGAATATGTCGAAATATGGGGGTTTTCTGGTTGCGGAAAATTCGAAATATGGGGGTTTCTGGTTGCACGAATTCGAATATGGGGGGTTTCTGGTGGCAATTCGAAATATGGGGTTTCTGGTGCGAAATTCGAAAATATGGGGGTTTCTGGTGCGAAATTCGAAAATATGGGGGTTCTGGTGCGAAATTCGAAATATGGGGGTTTTCTGGTTGCGGAAGATTCGAAATATGGGTTTCTGGTTGCGAATTTCGAATATCGGGTTTGGTTTGCGAAATCGAAATATGGGGTTTCTGTGCATATTCGAATATGGGGTCTGGGCGAAATTCGAAATATCGGGGTTTCTGGTTGCGAATTTCGAAATATAGGGGTTTCTGGTTGGAAAATTCTGAAATATGGGGGTTTCTGGTTGCGAAATTCCGAAAATATCCGGGGTTTCTGGTTGCGATTCGAATATCGGTTTGGGACGAAATATCGGGTTTCGGTTCGTCGAATATCGGCTTGTCGTGTGCAGATTCGAAATATCGGGGTTTGTGGTTGCGAGAATTCGAAATATCGGGGTTTCTGTGTTGCGCGATGATTCGAAAATATGTGGGGTTTCTGGTTGCGAGATTCGAAATATGGGGGTTTCTGGTTTGCGTGATTCGAAATAATGGGGTTTTGGTTGCGTGATTCGAAATATGGGTGTTTCGGGTGCCGTGATTCGAAATATGGGTGTTTCTGGTTGCGAGATTCGAATATGGGAGTTTCTGGTTGCGAGATTCGAAATATCGGGGTTTCAGTTTGCGAGATTTGAATATCGGCGTGTCAGTCTGCGAGATTCGAATATCGGCGTGGATCGGGAGTTCTCGGTGTCAGTTGCGAGATTCGAATATCGCGTGGTCAGTCTGCGAGATTCGAAATATCGGCGTGTCAGTCTGCGAGATTCGAAATATCGGCGTTGTCAGTCTGCGAGATTCGAAATTCCGGCGTGTCAGTTCTGCGAGATTCGAAATATCGGGTGTCAGTCTGCGAGATTCGAAATATCGGCCGTAGTCAGTCTGCGAGATTCGAAATATCGGCGTGTCAGTTCTGCGAGATTCGAAATATGGCGTGTCAGTCTGCGAGAATTCGCAAATAATCGGCGTGTCAGTCTGCGAGATTCGAAATATCGGCGTGTCAGTCTGCGAGATTCGAATATCGTGCGTGTCAGTCTGCGAGATTCAAATATCGGCGTGTAGTCTGCGGATTCGAAATATCGGGTGTCAGTCTGCGAGATTCGAATATAAGGCGTGTCAGTCTGCGAGATTCGAAATTTCGGCGTGTCGATCTGCGAGATTCGAAATATCGGCCGTGTCAGTCTGCGAGATTCGAAATATCGGCGTGTCAGTCCTGCGAGATTCGAAATATCGGCGTGTCAGTCTGCGAGATTCGAAATATCGGCGTGTCAGTCTGCGAGATTCGAAATATCGGCGTGTCAGTCTGCGAGATTCGAAATATCGCCGTGTCAGTCTGCGAGAATTCGAAATATCGGCGTGTCAGTCTGCGAGATTCGATATATCGGCGTGTCAGTCTGCGAGATTCGCAATATCGGCGTTTCAATCTGTGAGATTCGAAATATCGGTGTTCAGTTTGAGAGTTTCGAGATATCGGGGTTCCAGTTGACGGTTTACGGATGTTTCGGTCGAGTTATCGAGGTTCAGTTGACGGGTTTCGAGTTATCGAGGTTCCAGTTGACGGGTTTCGAGTTATCGAGGTTCCAGTTATCAGGATTTGAGTTATCAAAATTCGTGTTATTAAAATTCGTCTTTTCAATATTGGAGTTATCAAAATACGTGTTATCAATATTGGAGTTGCCCGTGTTGGAGTTCCACTCGAAGGCCTTGTCAGCGGCGCCCAAGCGTCCGGAGCGCAGCCGGCGCGGCGTGCTGGGGCGGCTGCGATGACGCGTCGGCGGCCGAGGCGGCGCGCCCGCGGACGCACAGACGCCCAAGGCCCCGTGGCGGGGCTGTGGCGGGGTCGGGGCGGGGCCCGGGAGGGGCTGGTGGGCGTCGGGGTATATAGGCGCGGGGCGACGGCGGCCGCCGCAGTCGCGACTCGCACCGCATCTCCTCCGCTCACCTCCACAGGAGGGCGCTCACCCCAAGGACAAGCAGACTCGCAAGCAGGTGGGTGCGCCGCGCCGGGGCAGCTCCCCCCTGGCCACCGCGTGGCTCGGCTCGGTGCAGGAGCAAGTGATCTCTCTTGAAAGGCAACGCGATTTTGGTTTGGGTACAGCAAAGACCTTCGAATTTGATTGTTGAAAACTCACAGTACGATGAGTTGTACAAATATTGACACATGAATCAAGACAAAGGCAGAGATGTACGAATGAGTTTAGGATTGGAGAGAGTTTGTGCATGTAATTGGTGTCTTTTTTTAGCGAAGTTCACAAAACTTTGTAAACAATTTTTTAAAATATTCTTTACACGTGTTGTTGTTTCTAATTCGAAATGCAGTAAGTGAGTTTCAAGTGATGTACATGTGGATAGATGTGAGCTTCACCACTCACTAAGAGTATGTTTTGCATCGGGGAATCGCTCTTTAAATCCTGGCAACTGCATTTGGAATTTACTGTGAACCAAAGGGGTTCGCCATGTGGCTCCAAGCATCCACGCCTGTGGCGACGTTCCGTCCTTTCATCTCGTTTTTCGTAGTGTTTCTTGAGAAAAACCAAATCCACGCTGAGTTAAAAGAACTACAGAAGGGAGTAATTTGCCATTTTTCTTCCGACTAAAATAATAAGAACTTTTAATGACGATGGACTAAGTTATGATAGGGCATGTACAAACACTTGCTCCTGCTCATAAAATCTTTAAAATAATTTTTGTATTTTTTTATTGCAATTATTATAAATACAAGTATTTATTTCAAAAGAATTGAAAATATTTTTGAAACTGAAACTACTTGCCTTCTTCATTAAAAAGTCATTTTTCTACCCCCACTGCACCCCCACGGATAGGGCCATGTAAACGCACTCTATTTGACCGTAATTTATCGAGATTTCCAGGATTCAATGTTACAATTTCAAAACAGCAAAGTATACTCCCTAATTACTTCAACAAACTTACGTACCTGCATCTTCACAAGTTATGCCTTGAACGTGCTTCTAATTACTGTATCAATTTGTCTTTCGAGATAACGGAGGCTGCATCGTATGGCCATATGGGGCCTGCTAATTGTCCCGCCGTGAGGATACGAGTGCATGTGGAATGGGGAAGGAAGAATCGCGTGCGGGCTCGTTGTTTTGAATAATTCAGCAAACAAAAATCAGTAGAAGCAACCTATTAGTGCTGGCGGTTTCTTAAATTATTTACCGTTTAGAGAAATCGTATGACCCAGCTAGTTGTCCAATTGGGAACGGAGAATCAGCTTTTCGACCAACCCGCAAGGTAGGATAGTGGAAGACCGCTAGCCTTCCGAAGTTTTCAGTGCCCTTTTCAGATGAGATCCATTGCCTGGGAGCTTGGATCAGCCGCAGAGGCCAAGGTCTTCGTGGCAGACATGGGGTACCTGTGTTTTTGCGCAGAGCTGTTGGCCCTAAGGATAGGAGTGACAGTAAGATGAGTTAGAAATAATCGCACTCGACCCATGGCTTCATGGTTTATGTACTGTGCTGCCTGCATTTAAAAGCAAGAAGGTCCGAAATCGACTAATTTGAGCATCCAGCCTGTAGAATGAACATTCACACAAACGCGTCGACAGCCCAGTAACTGATCAAGAACAGAAAGTCCTCCACCGCGAATATTTAGTATTCAACCCCTTTTAATCAGCGAAATTTCAATTGCAGACTCGCCACACCCTATGCTTTCTTTTGACAAACGATTTCGCGCGTGCGCAGGCAAAGCGGCTTTCGTGGCGTCTGAGCCGCTGCGCGTATGCGCCCATTCTCTAAAACTCTCCAAATCGCTCTTCCAAGCGAAGCGTGTCAGTCGGGTGTAGGGCGGCTGCGGCTACGGCGCCCGGTATCGTTTCTATCGGCCGTCGCGGCACTCGCGCGGAGGGGGATTGCCCGTTGACTCAGCAGCCGCCGCCCGCCAGCGGCTGCCGTCGGCGGCCTCCGGCTCCTGGGCCTCGCCGCCGTCGCGTGTGATGCGGAGTAGGAAGGAAGCCGACTCGGCGGTCGGCGATGGCCCAGTGCTCCAGAAGGAGAGGAGGAAAACGAAAATGAAAATAAAAAATTAATTGCTGCGCCGCGGTGGAATTATGAGACTGATTTGAAAAGCGTTTTTAGTATTCGGGGACGTTTAAATTCGTAAAAATCGCGAAAACTTTTAAAAATAACACATTTTATTCAAATAAAGGGTACATAGTTTGTTTGAATTTGTATAATTGTAAACTTGCGTATTAATCGTTTTAATGTTTCTAAAAATCTTATTCAGACCGTTCATTTATCCGTTTCTGTGTTAATCCGCGAAGAACTAAGTTAAAACTTTAACAGGGGAAAAGGAGAGATATTTGGCACCTAAAATATTCACTTTTAGTTATCCCAAAGAGTAATTCACTTCTAATAGAAAACTCGTAATTTTTTTGATGTCGTTTAATATTCTCTGCCACTTAACAGATAAAAAATGACAAATAAAATATCGATGTCTCTAAAACAACAAAAAATATTAGATTTGAAGTACTGAATATGAAAGTATTCAACATACATAACAACATGTCTCTTTGTTTCCTAGTTAGTCATTCAATATTCTCTCAGAACAAATAGTATGAATTTATTTAACCTAATTTGAATTCATAGAAGCTTACAATATAGCGGTGTCAATTCCTAAAATTAAAATAATTCATTTTAAATAGTTGATTGTTAAGGGTTGAGTTATTTGTAATCACCCTTTTTTTCACCTAAAATTATCATTATGCAAATACGTGAAACCAAAGGGTTTTTAACACGTTCTGAAGTGTAGGTAATGTATATTTTTTCAAATCACCAACTTGGTACTTTTATTAAACCTTCCTTAGTGTAATTGTAGATTTAATCGTAATATGCTACTAACTATCACTTACAGAATAAGTAAAGTACTATCATACATTTACAATGAATGAACCTCAGGTGTACGTCATCATGATGATAAACAATAACTATATATGCGGTATCACGGACATCACACAATGCTTGAAATGTTTTCTTTGTATTTCTTCAGACAAAAAGAAGCCTATTTTTACTCGTAAACATTTCATAAATATAGCTCACAAGACAGGCAGTATATAGAGAACGTGTCATTGACTGAGAAATAAACGACTCCGCTCAGGATAAAACCATTCTACCAAATGGTTGAGATGTTTCGCTTCTTTTTCGCACCGACGATATAAGACCTACACCGAAGAATCTTCTTGAATGATTCAATTCATTTCAATAAGTGAATGATTCAATTCATTTCAATGGCGTGTTTTTTCCGCGCGACACTCAGCCGTCTTCCGTCTGACAAGTTCGCAAAGTTCGCTAGGCTCCTTTCACCTTCTAGCGGAGAAAGAAGGTACCACTCGGGCGTCGCAACGTGCGATTACAATTTAGCTCAGAAGCTTCGTTTAGGCTTGAGGATCTTTCGCATGCTGTAAGTCTACAACAAGGCGTGGCCCAGCCAGCTTTCCTTCCCCTCTGAAGGAAGGCGTACGATGTGAGGCACGCGTGTTTCGTTTTGTCCCGATGTTTGAAAGTTCCGAGCCACTGTGCGTGGCGTGTGCGGCGCCGCACGGGAGCAGGAAGGAGCGTCGCGACGCGCGGTGAGCGAGGCGCAGGGCGTCGCGACGGCAGGCGGCGCGGAAAGTCCCTCGGCCTTGGCGGCGCGCAGGCGGCGGCGGCGAGCGCTCGAGATCCGGCGTGCGATGGTCGATGCTGACGACGCGACGCTCCTCAGCGTGTGCGAAAAGTAGCTTTAACGCGCCCTGGCGGGCCAAAACATCAATTAAATTCTTGGCTATCCGGGAGACGCCGCGTCGTTGGCTGGGAGGCCGACGTTTCGTGACTTGGTCACTGCCCTGAGGAAGCCTGCGACATGTCAGGCGAAACGTCGGCCTCTCAGCCAACGACGCGGCGTCTCCTGGATAGCCGAGCATTTATGGATTCGAACCGCGGAAGCTTACGTGTGTATCGGTCCAATACATTGTCAACTTCAAAAATATCACTATTTAATAAGCTCATTCTCAAAATTGTATTCTCTTCTTCCATCTTGTTCACGCGCTTCCTTGTTTCACCTTGGTCAACAAGCCAATGATATTTTTAGACCCCCCTTGATTCAAATCTCCCCACATGGCATCTCACAACACCCCCTCCAAACCTTAATAATATCGTACATAACCTTCCCTTTCTTACCCCACCATACCTTTTTTTGTTTTGTTTGGTTTTAACACTTGAGCAACACAGTCGATCAACGTAGGAAATTTCCAGATAATTATTTGTATGTATTCACAACTCTGTAGGACCACTTGGTCGATCAGATATACTTTTAAAGAAAATATTATCTGGGTTATTGTTAGGTTGCCTACTGGTGGCAATAGCACGCTCATCAAGTGATTTAAAATATGTGCATTCCGCGAAAAGATAATGCGTTCAGAAAAATAAAAGTAGTTAATGCACAGAATATGAAACGCAAGATACTTGATTTTCTGAATCCCCATCTAGTCGAATCTCTCTTGTAATTTCGAGAGTCACCTTCACTACTGTTTTCTTGCAGGGAGGCAGTCAACAGCGGGGATGGGAGATGCCAATGGGCAGGGGCGTCCAGAGGGTGGGGCAACTTGTCCCAGACCCCCATTTAAGTGAGGCCTCGAAAATTTATACAAAATGAATTTCATTCAATAGGAAAAAAAACATATTTAACTGTAGTTCAAATACATTCACTATATAATTATTATTATTATTATTATTATTATTATTATTATTATTATTATTATTATTATTATTATTATTATGGGAACTTTTTGTTGGAAATAAGGGGCCCTTGTTTCCTCTGTGCGCCCCTGCCAATGTGCCACCAAGTCTCAGTGGTGGCTGCTCCTCTCGACAGGGGCTATTGGTGTAACGCCTCGGCGGAGCAGGCGCATAGAGCTACCTCGGAGTGTACGCAGCCGGAGGCGTTTTCAAGAGCGGTTCCCCCGCAAGACATGAACACTTTCCTCGTGATATTGGTGCGGTAGGCTTCTCTCGCCACCGCGAATACCAAATAAACAATCATCAGTTCGATCTGTCAAGCGCATGTGTCGGATTATCCATGATTTTAATAACTTCAATAATGTGTTTTGTCCTCTTAAGTATCGTTAGCAATAATTGAGATTAAAATTATACGACGATTTGTAAGCATTAATATAATGAACCGTCTGCTAACGTTTTTCACATTAGACTTTATATAATATGTTTTTATAATTTGAGTTTTGTTCTGAAACTTCTCTTGGGTCTAGGAATTCCCACTCATCGATAAAATCTCTTAGACGCATTTTCCCCTGAAATCATTAGAATATTTCTGTAAGTAATAGGGCGCATATTAGTAACAGAGTAAGGAAGAACTCCATCAAAATGCCTAGTTATCTAATGAGTACAAATGGTTTCTCACATTAAAACTGGTTGGTGTGAAACAAGATCTCTGAGATATTTTCGAAAGGAATTACGTTCATTAAAGGCATAATTGGAAATGAGATCGGTTACAATTCCTTCTTTTCGTTGTGTAGAAAATCCCAAACTTGCCACCAGAACCAACTGACAATTTACACTGTGGATAATATTGAAAATATAGCATTTTCAAATCATTTATTGCATTCTCAATTTACAAATTTAGATATAATTATAAGTGTTGATATGTGTTTAAAGCACACAAAGAAACTCATTTCTTTGGTTTGTTCGTTGTTGTTTTTTTGTTTTACGAACATAACATGCACAAATATTTCTCTACAATTTTGTTCAATAAAACGATGATATATTCAAGCAACATTGTAACAATTAATTAGATACAATAACATTGAACGTTGCGTAAATTTTAAAAAAATAACATTTTGCCCGTCCCTGGCGTACACCTGCAAGGAAGTCTCCCGCTTCGCGATGCACGGCGTGGTAGGCCATGGTCTGGCAAAGGGCCAATGGCCCAAGCGCGGCGGTGCCGGTGCCAGGCGCAGAGAGGCCTCGTGCGCGCACGTGCACACACGTGCGAACATATGAGTAAGTCGGTGCGTGAGTTGAGGCTGCAATGCACGCAGCCGATCCATTGATAGCTCTCGTGGCCAAGTTGGCTGATCGAGAAGCCTAACGCAAGGACTCCTCAAGTAGGAAGGGCTATCCGTCCGCTGTTTGAGAGGGCACAATTTTAATAGGATGAACGTAATTACATTTTCTCTGCGCTCTTCAAAATTAATACTAATATTTTTCATATATGACTTAGTGCTTGTACATTATTGCTAAGGTTTTCATTTCTGTTGCGTTCGTGTGTTTTTTGTTTGCTTAGAGCAATGTGCCAGGTGTGTTTGAAGAGAAGGAGAGATGGAAAGGATTATAGGTCTCCAGTACAAAATTATGATTCAACAGCTGAGATACATGGACAAGAACCCTGAGAAGAGTATCATGAAACATTCATTGTAGATAGATCTTCTGCGATAAATGGCTTCAGCGGAAAAAAGTCCCCATAACAAAGCAGCTGATTAGGAAATACATGAAGTCTTGACATAAGAGCCCTAAAACCTGCCTAAACTAAAATGTTTAATTATACAATTGACCTTCCCAATGAGGCCGTAACGTCACTACTGCTACAGCTACTATGACTTTGAAGAATAAATTACATTCGTTATGTAATTGCCGCTACGCAAATTCATTTAACAATAAATTAAGTTTACGAGTGTGGAGAACTAGAATAATGAATTAAGTCGAATTTAATTACATTAAAGATAGAAAATCCATTTTCCCTTCACTTATTTAAGAGACATTTTGTCTCAAAACTGTTTCGATCAAAAATCGTCTCTTGGTTACCCAAACAAAATGTTTTTGCTTGTACTAAATAAGTACGTAAATGTTATAATTCTTCTTAATATTAATAATATAACATTAATACTACAGTTATTTTATGCACGAGTTGCAATGAAGGAGGGGAATACAAAGAACATTGCCAGTTGGGAATGGAGGAAAGAAATAAGAAAACTTTGGAGATTGATAAGTACAAAATCTACAATAAATAAATTAAATAAAATGAATTTTAGAATTTTTTTTCAAAAAATTAATTTGTAAATTTACTTCAAGAAAAATCTACAATTTAGAGTTATAGACGAACCGCTTTATTCGTTATACGCAGACTGCCCTCGGGAAGAAAAAATACACACGCAGTAGCCGACTCCCTCGATAAAATTCGAGTGAGCAGCTCGCCGGTATTTGCGGGCGTTCCGTCACGCGCCGAGTGGGATTCCCGGGATGGGCGTGTGTGTGTGTGCGCGCGCGCGATTCGCACCTCCCCTCGCGCCCTTCGCCCCGTGAGCTCACTGTCTGCGCGGGCGGCCTCGTCCCGCACTCGCACTCGAAACCACAAGCGACAGACAGTGGGCTTAACAGGGCTTTTAGTTCCACTCGAATTTCTTCTTTCTTCTTCGAAACCACAAGCGACAAAGTGGTTTAGCGCCAGTGCTTGCTGTTTTTCTCGAATTTATTCTCCGAATTCACAAGCGGCAAACAGTAGGGTTAATCGGCTTTTAGTTCCACTCGAATTTCTTCTTCCTTTAGTTTTTGTTCTTCGAAACCAAGAGCGATAAACAGTGGGGTTTGCAGTGCTTTTTGTAGTTTTCTTCGTCTCTGTAACTATTATCCGCATCTCGATCAGGTTTTCGTCCAATTTTCCTGATTTATTGAGCAAATGCTCAGGTGGCCTGATGTTGCTTCTTAAAATAAATGTAGTTTCACTGCAGTAGCGTTTTATTGAGGTCTTCTTTTGCAAGTTGTGGTACAACTAGAGCCGGGAATGTGGCTTCCTTAAATACTCTGGCAATACTCTTACATCAAATTAATAGGACATTTAGCGATGCAAAACTATAACTCGGAAGCGAACATTTCCAGTTTTCAAATATTGCAAATCTCGCTTTGATGGTACTTTATTCATTACTCAACTATGTGTAGTAAAATAGTGCATAGGGATTTTGGTGTTTCAAGAAAACGCGCGCAGATTATACTGGTCTAAAAAACACGTGCAGTTTTTACCGTTCTTTTAAGTAAATAAATGAAATCAAATGAAATCAACTGAGATCTTCAGGGACCCGCCCCTTGATTTCGTTTTCCCAAGTGACGGCACGGCTGGCACCGACTTATGTAACTCAGGGCAATCGATGTTAGTCCAGTGGCTCTGACCGCGAAGTCCTCGGGTTTGAGTCCCGACTGTCGCAGGAGTTTCCACGATAGGTAGGTCGAATTCAGCCGCTGCCTGGAGGTCTCTTCTAGCGGCCGGCGTCTGCTTTGATCGTTAGTTTTCCGTGGTTTCTTCGATCAACACTAATCGAATGCCGGAGCAGTACTCTAAAATATCTGGTCACGAATCCCACTTCTCCAACTTGTCCTATTGTCACCTCTTACTTGCGCACACTTACAATTACTTCCACTGCACTACCACATTTATCACTAAACCAGTCGGGAGCTTAGTCCCGGTCCCCGTGCGGTGCATCTCCGGTAGGAGATACCTGGATGTGGAAACCCCCCGACGGTAGGTCGGCACCAGATCTCACCCACCGCTTTGTGATAAAACGTACAGTAAACATACGGAATCAGAGACCTTGGCAGTTGCCGCGCCCGAAATCACTAGTGAGGGAATGAATGTTGTTGTGTTTTTTTGCGAGCAGGAGGCGGGATGAGGGCGCAGGTGGCGACGCTGGGCGCCGCGGCGCTGCTACTGGCCGCGTTGGCGCCGCCGCCGGCCCAGGGCCAGTACGGGCCGCCGCGCAAGAAGAAGCCGCACGCGCCGCTGCCGCCGCTCGAGGCGTCCACGGCCGAGCCGCTCCCGCTGCCGTCGGCGCCGCACGTCAGCTCCACGCCGCCCAGCAACGCCCTCGACGACCAGAACCGCGACTACTGGTGGATGAACGGCGGCGGCAGCATCTTCTCGCAGCCCGGGCCCGCGCCGCCCGCGCCCCCGCAGGTAATGAAAACGTGGCTGAATGAAGAAAAAGAACGAACGCGTGTGTGTGATGAATTAAGTGATGAACGCGCGAGTGATGTATGAATGGATGATAAGCGAGTGATGTATGAATGGATGATAAGCGAGTGATGGATGAATGGATGATGATAAGCGAGTGATGGATGAATGAATGATGATAAGCGAGTGATGGATGAATGAATGAATGAATGATAAGCGAGTGAATTAATGAGTTTGCTAGGAATCCACATTCGAATGGCGAATTTTTTTCTGGATCTAATAGATTTTTTGATATAATAAGCGAGTGAGGCATGAATGAATAATTGATACGGGAGTGAATGTATGAACGAATTAGTCAATGATTGCGTGGGTAAATGTTACAATCAACGAAAAGAGGGGGAAAATTGAGCTAAAGAATTAATTTATAAATAACTAATTTAATTTATAAATAACTTTGAAGTTAAAATATGAATGAATGAAAATACAATGAATAAGTCAATTCATTTCACCTCACTACTTCATGAACCAGGAAATGAACAAATAAAGGTCTTGGCTCTTGATAGCCCTACGCCACATTGAGACAGCGCCACCCAATCATCATTTTGAGAAATAACAAGATACATGTTTCAATACAACATTCCTCGTCACTAAGTAATGAAGAAATATATCCGTAGCACAGCGTCATTTGTTATACTGGGACTACAAAACTCTTTCAAGATATAATAAACTTTATAGCAATTATGTTAGCAGTATTATTTTACGTTTTCAAAAATAAGCCAATGAATTATCGGGTGCAGAGTCCTGACAATAAATTAATGCATCGCTGAATTTTAATTCATTAATACAAAAAACGAGTGAACTTATAAATAAATAAAAACATTGTAGAATCCAAGAACTAACAATGCCTTCAAAGGTCTTCGTAGTATTCATTTCTGCATTAGCTTTTTAGCAATACTATTACGTTTAATAGAATCACTATGATTTTTAATTGTCAACAAGACTGCCAGTAGTGAAAAATCTCTTCACTTGTACTCGTCACGTAACGTCACTATAGATAAACCTTTCCGAGTAATGCCAAAGATGAAAACCTCAATCCAGTTCATAGGAAAATTAAATTTTTAAAATTACGATTCATAAAAGAGAATCTCACTTTTGAGATTACTTCCGAACTCTACTAATAAAACTTATAAGAAGACTGCCCTGTATTGCACAATAATTACTTATTGTGCACAGTGTTTACTTACGGGACAAACACAATTCTGAACGGCATAACTTTTTTGTCACGTTTAATTGACACCTTAGAATTAGTATTCATTTTCTATTCGATTTGTAATTAAAATTGGCATTGATAATAAAACCATTAGGTCCCAACTTGAACTGAAAATGGGCAGTGGCACTTCAAGATAGTACAAAAGAAACGTAGAATATTTCATCCTGTAATTTGGGAAGGTCAAGATACGATCTTCACGCTGTAATCCCTACGTGGCAAGAATTTTCTGAGACGCAACAACCTCCAAGGATCTTGTGAAGAAAATAAACATCATAGTCCGTAGGCATCCAAAGTGCAAATCGTCGTATTAAGCTCTCATTATGTATAATTCCTCTGATGCTACAAGCTTCGTCTGATAAGAAATTGTGGAGAATTACAAAACTGCTTGTTAAAGTCAGAATACTTTGTTCGCATATAGTTGTTTTTTCACAATATTTAGATTAATTCAGTTTTAACCTTGCGTGTATTAATTGAAATGCAAAATTTGTAGTGCAATTTGCAGACTTTTATTTCTGCTAATATATGTAAATATTAACATTTTGTTCACAAAATACAGTCGCTGACAGTTAATTTCCTTCGAGACGATCTTGGAAATAAATTTTGCCAAACAACGATCATCTTTACGTAATTTTTAATCCCGATGACTATCTCTTCTGACTGCGTGCCACTCCAAGGCCAATATGAAAGATGCCACATCGATTACCCGTCATCCGAGTCCGGGTGCAGCCTCCGTACGAGACGCGCTTCCTAAGAACATGAATCACGGCCAAACAAAGCCATTCAAAACGCAATTACTTGTCGTGAACTATTCCTTTGTCCGCGACCTTTCTCCGAATCGCGCCGGCAAGATCGACTCGCAATTCACGATGACTCTACACACGGAACACTACATCGCGGAGGCTTACGTTTGAAGGGGAAAGAAAAACGTTAATTCAATGCCGTCAATATGACATTTTTGAAAGGTGCGAGCAAATTAGTGGTGACTTAGAAAAAACTAGGATTTTCAGCTAAAACTTTTCGTGATGAACATTTATTTTTGTATTAAAAAAAAAGGCTTATTTGTAAGTATACTTTTAGTCATTATTTGGCTCTGAAAAAATATTTTTTTATATAGCTTCCAAAATATGACTATGGAACATCTGCCCCAACATGACCTAAATAGCGGAATTACGTGTCCCTACTTGCCTCAAAACAAACGTGTTCGAAAACAGCAACAATTTATGGTATAATCGTTGGACAGGACATCCAATTTCGGAAATAGGTGTTATTAAAAAGTTTCTAGATAACGTAATTGCTCGATTTAGTTGAACAAAGAGTTTTACTTCTAGTGGAACAACGGATCACGTGTAATCAGCGGCCTGTTAGTATGTTTACTTTTGTCTCGCGTAACAAAAGTTTGCACTTAAGTTATTGTTGTTGATGTTTTTTTGTTCCTTTTTTTACGAAAAAAAATATTTTTTTAAAAAAGTGTTTTTAATCAATTGAAATAAAGATTCGAAGAGAGAATATATACGGTGTTTCGTTCGTTTTGTTATTTCTCAAAGAGAAAATCGCTAGATATTACTGAAATCTTTCTGGTTGTGCAAAGTTGGGAATGAGACAGGTGCACAGTTCATCCTAGATGGTGAACTGATGCATTTTTTTTCACTATATAACTTGCATAATTTGTTCAGTGGAATTGTCCAGTTGTTTGGCCGCATGCTTCAAATATTTCATTGTCCGTGTGACATTTTAACAATTGCTTGTTTGGAAAGAACGCCTGCCCCTGTTCTGGAAACTCGCAGAGGGGAAGTCGTCACTCGCTAGCTTTGTAGCAATCCGCACATTAAAAGGACGTTACTTTCCGGGACACAACGAGCGCCGAATCGCGAACCAAAGTCACTCGAGCCGAACTGTCGCCGTCCACGAGTCGAGGCCCTGCACCCGGAAGCTCTTATCTCCGTGGCGCTTTTGTCGCTCCTACGGCTTGGCGCTTCCGAAAATTGCTTGATGATCATTTCGTAGAATTGAAATGGTGTCTTTCGTATTATTCTTTATTACATAAAGCAGTTGTTCATTTGTATTTACTTATGCGGTTATCATATCATAAAAATATTTTAAAACGCATTTAACACTTTGACGTCATATGTATTTACCTCTTTCAAGCACGAGGCTATTGAATTTTTTTTTGCACTAGTTGCACAGCTCGGATCTCATATCAAAAGCTTATAAGAAAATGTCTTGTAGGCTTTGTAAAAAATGATTGTCATGTGTTCTGCAGGTATTTATCAGGCATACACCTTCCAGCGCTTGTGGGAACTATTTTCTGCTCTTGAGCGGTGGTTCATAAATTATCTTGTTATTAAATAATACACACACACACGTACAGAAGAAATGACGGTACAAATTTTGTACCTCCGAGAGACCGGTGCATAACGCACAGTGCTACATATTTTGTAGCACCGTGCTGTAAAGAGTTAAGCATTTTCTGCAGCTATGAAAATTTATGACATTCGACAATTCATGACAAGCAATTGCACTTCTTGTTTCCTGGCCTTGTTAGTTACGCTCTTGGCCGCATGTCGACAGGGATGCGGAGGCGCTAGCGGCGGCAGCTGCGGCGGCGTCAACCCCAACAACCCCTTCTTGGGAGGCCACGGCGGAAGCTCGGGGGCTCCTGGATCACCTGGATCACCCGGTTCACCCGGCTGCGGTGGAGGTCTCGGCTCCGGCGGCTGCTCTCCCGGAGGAGTCAACCCCAACAACCCGTTTCTGGGTGGCCATGGAGGATCTCCTGGCTCTCCGGGTTCTCCTGGCTCTCCGGGTTCTCCTGGCTCTCCGGGTTCTCCTGGCTCTCCCGGTTCCCCCGGCTCCGGCTGTGCGGGCGGTATCGGCGGCGGCGGCTGCGGCGGCTCTCCCGGTTCCTACCCTAACAACCCGTTCCTCGGAGGCGGCTCCAAACCCTCCGCGCCCGGCTCCCAGTTCGTGAGCTGCACGCAGGCCGGGCACGTGTGCGTGCCGAAGGAGCACTGCCGCAACGGCGTCGTGGTGCAGGACGGCAGGCACCTCTTCGATTTGCGAAGCGGGGTGAGTGCAATTTCTTTGCGTTTATCATAACGCATTAGAAAACGTATATTTTAAATATTATTTACAATATTATATCTCTTGTCAATTTGTTGTCATTCTGGGTTTCCGTCAATAGTCATTTTAAAATTATACTGATATCCACAACTTTTGTGAACTGTAAATGCCGTACATTTCAATGAGTAACATCGTGATTCTTCAGAAATAATTAGATATTTCTGCGGTAGTTATAATATCTCGACGGGTTTTTTAAATAAATTAAAGAAAGTGAAAATATTAATCAGATATGTTTCATTTGAAATTAGTTAATTTGTATTTAAGTCAGAGATAACTTCGATATTCAATACATAATGATCCCTTTATCGAGGAGAAGTGTGTACATAAATGTGCGGTGTGTGTCAGCAGCAGTGCGACAGCGCCACCCAGGCTTGCTGCTTCCGGCCCGCCTCGCAGCCCAGCCCGCCGGGCTGCACCGGCCCCCCGGGCAACTTCGTGTGCGGCGGCATCGGCGCCGACGGCCAGTCGGCCGGCTCGCAGCCCGGCCTCGTGCACATCGCGCCCGGCCAGCCCGGCCGACCCGGGCAACCCGGTCACCCAGGCCAACCGGGACAACCCGGACAGCCCGGTCAACCCGGTCAGCCAGGCCAACCCGGACACCCAGGTCAGCCGGGTCAACCCGGACAGCCCGGTCAACCCGGTCAGCCAGGCCAACCCGGACACCCAGGTGAGCCCGGACAGCCCGGCCTCATCCACATCCGTCCGGGCTCCCCGGGCAGCCCCGGCTCCGCCACCTACAACCCCGGCACCCCCGGCCAACCAGGCCTGGTCCACATCGCCCCCGGCAGCCCCGGCACGCCCGGCTCGGCCACCTACACTCCCGGACAGCCCGCTCAACCCGGCTCCGTCTCGTACACCCCGGGCAGACCCGCCCAGCCCGGCTCCGTCTCGTACACCCCGGGCAGACCCGCCCAGCCCGGCTCCGTCTCGTACACTCCCGGTAGCCCCGCTCAGCCCGGCTCCGTCCACTACCAGCCCGGCCAGCCGTCCTCCCCGGGCACGGTGCAGATCTCCCCTCCCAGACCGCTGCAGCCTGGCTCCTCGGGCGTCCCCATCGGGGGCTCCATCTACGACGCCACACCGCGGCCTCCGCATTCCGGCACCACCCAGCAACCGTACACCGGCCCGCTCAACACCACGCCCTACCCCGGCTGCGCCGCCGCGCTCAAGTGCGTGCCGCAGAGCCTGTGCACGGCGGAGGGCGTGATGAGCGACCGGCCGGTGTCGCTCACCCGCGAGCAGGAGGAGAGCCGCGTCCCGCTCACGGTGAGTTTTACTACTTTCTCGCCACGGAGTGGAGTAAAAAGTTGTGTAATGCTGCGCAAAAAACGTGAATTGTTGGCAGAAAAACACTCGCAATAAGAGAAACGTATTTCGGTTCCACTCTAGACGGTGGGCACTACACAAAATTCAAAACGTTTAGCCTACACACTTACACACGTGCACAACAGCTTTTCTGATTTAACCCAACCTAAATCGCATCGAAACACTTACACAGATAAAAGTAAAATAATAATCTTCTATAGCATTTTTATTTTCAAGGGGTAATCAATGTTCTCTATTCTGGGGGAAAAATATTGCAGCGAACGGATATTGACTAATAAACGAACTGGTCGTAGATGACGAAAATCGGAAGTTGGTGGGCATGACGTCACGTTCAAGGTCTTCACGGTAACCGCTTCATCATTTCCCTAGAAAATACTCGTTCTTAGCACAAGCATAGTTTTTTTGAGAAGGCTTATTGAGCTTAGAATGACGCATTGAAGTTTCTACGCATATTCATGAAAGGGCCCTTACTTCGAACACATACCCACGCTCGGGACATTTTAACAGGTAGAGCTTTTCGCCATGACCTAGGGGGGTAATATTTGAATTTGTCATTTACTTTACTCGCATCGTCCATGCGCTTAACCCGCGCCAGGCATAGTTTCATGAAACATGTGAAAGTAGATTCGTTAAGAACGAGACGCTGTAAATCCAGGTGAATAAAACGGACATGAACCCCGGTTGACACGTTTTGTTCACTGTTCCGCTTTCTCAGGACTGCGCTGACCCGGAGACGGGCCGCCTGGGCAAGTGCTGCCGCGACCCCAACTACAAGGACCCCTGGCCCGGCGGCATGATGATGGGCCCGGGGCACCCCGGCGCGCACCCGGGTGCCCACGCGCACCAGCCCGACGAGTGCGGCCCCGCCGCCGCCTGCCTGCACGCCTACCAATGCGCCGACGCCAACAAGGTGGCGCCGGCCAAGGGCTGCCGCGTGCCTCTGGACGGCGCGTCGGGCGTGTGCTGCTCCTTGGACGGGTCGGCGGCCGGCAGCGCCCCGCAGCCCACCGCCAAGCCCGGCTCGCACTACTACTCCCCCGGCAAGGGCGTGCAGCCCGGCGGCATCTCGCACACCCCCGGCAGCCCCGCTCGGCCCGGTAGCGCGTCCTACACTCCAGGCAGCCCCGCTCAGCCCGGCAGCGCGTTCCTACACTCCAGGCAAGCCCCGCTCAGGCCGGAGCGCTTCCTACACTCCAGGCAGCCCCGCTCAGCCCGAGCGCTCCTACACTCCAGGCAGCCCGCTCAGCCCGGAGCGTCTCCTACACTCCAGGCAGCCCCGCTCAAGCCCAGGTACGTCTCCTACACTCCAGGCAGCCCCGCTCAGCCCGGCAGCGCGTCCTACACTCCTGGCCGCCCTGCTCAGCCCGGGAGCGTCACCTACACTCCCGGCAGCCCCGCTCAACCCGGTGGCGTGTCGTACACTCCAGGCAGCCCTGCTCAACCTGGATCTGTGAACTACCAACCTGGTAAACCCGCTCAGCCTGGTACCCCAGGTCTCCCCGGTGCTCCTGGCCAACCTGGAACTCCAGGACATCCTGGTGCTCCTGGCCAACCTGGAACTCCAGGACATCCTGGTGCTCCTGGCCAACCTGGAACTCCAGGATACCCCGGTGGGCCTGGCCAACCAGGAATCCCCGGACAACCTGGAACTGGACACGCCGGTACTCCTGGACAGCCTGGTCATCCCGGAACTCCCGGTACCCCTGGGTCAGTCAGCTACACTCCCGGATCACCTGGATCACCCGGATCCGTGAGCTACACTCCTGGATCCCCTGGAACTCCTGGTTCGGTGTCTTACACTCCCGGACGTCCTGCTCAGCCTGGCTCCGTTTCGCACACCCCCGGCTCGCCAGGATCCCCTGGCTCCGTGTCCTACCAGCCAGGAAGGCCCGGATCTCCCGGCTCCTACCAGCCAGGCGGCCTGCCCCAGCCGTCCACCGCCAAGCCCATCTACTACGAGCCCATCGACTCAAACAACCCTAGCGGACCCAACTGCGGCATCGGAGGTCCCATTCTGGTAAGTGCATCTGGAGGACGTCACTTTGAATTTTAAATCTAGAAATTCGGGAATAAATTACTGCAAAATAAGCGCTCAAATGCATACAGCCCGGATTTTGAGGTGGTCATTTCACGAAACATATTTTTATTAATTTTCTCCTCTAAGATTTAAGAAAGACATTGATCATTTTTTTACTTATGTTTATTTTAACTGTAAATATAAAATAATTTCCAACTTCTTATCGTAACGAACTAATTGAAACAAACCAGAAAATATTTCTTTCATTTCGAGAAGGTGTCATAGAACATATGTGTGCGTCTGTCACTGACCGAGTCGCAATGTCGAGGTTAATTCGAGCGTCTGCCCGTGTGCCTGCAGAAGCCTGGCCAGCGGGACACGGAGGCCGGCCTCAACGAGCTGCCCTGGCAAGTGCTGGTACTCTCCGCCGGCAACAGCAGCGCCCTCTGCAGCGGCGTGCTGGTGGCCCCCAACGCTGTGGCCACCTCCGCCCACTGCCTTGACGGGTAAGCCTCGCCGCTGCCACGTTTGACTTCCTCGCTACGGGGAGGATAGAAAGCTACTACGTAACGCTCGCGAAAGAACGGTGAATTTTCGGCAAACTCTTTTATTATGGGGTCCAGGTAACGAAAAGGTGGATAAAACCAGTTGCTCGATTTGCGTAAAAAAATCTCTAACACAGGGTGTAGCCAGAATCCATGTTTTGTGGGTCCTTGATACTGAAAAGTTGAATGACGGCAAAATGTCTGTCCGTGAACAAAGCTAGCGGCTAAACAGTTCAGCCGATATTCTCCAAAATTAATATCTCCCAATAGCAGCCCCTTGAATTTCAAAACCAATATTTTTAATTTGAAAAGGTACTTAACACAAAGCTCCTTGAACATTTTTCATTTTTTTTAAATGGCTCCATCGTTGTTTTGTTTATGATTGTGTGAAAGACGTTGAAGAGAATGGTGCACGTCCCATGTTTGTTGAAAATCCCGATTCTTCGAAAATTGCAAAAGTGCAAAAATTTTTCGAAGTCTCCCACAATTAAAATATTGAAGACAGAGATTTTCCCTCAATGAAATCTTTTTCTTAAAGGTAGATTTTTAAATAAGATCACGTACAATATTTCGAAAATTTGCGTACTTTCGCGTAATTTTGCGTTAAAATACGAGCGAGAAAGTAGCTGGTTTTTGCACTAGTTCTTATATATTTCCTTTATTTATGATACTAGCTTGGATTGCGCAAGTCGGTAACGTGGAAGCGTCTTGACTGTTTCGGTTCAAGAGCTGCAGATTCAAGCTAGGGGCTTGGATACTTGTGTAACGGTAATTACGGATAAATTCGGAAAAATACTTCTATTAGTGGTAGGAGGGCGTTAGTTAAGTGTTACGCTATTTTTTTAATTTTGTTGAAATAATTCCTATTTTCCGACTTAAACTAAACATTAAAATATTAACATATTTTTAATATAAATAAATTAATGCGATTCTAGAGAATATTCTAGAATCGAATTAAATTGGCACAGTAGATTCACCCATACGTCATGCACGACAGCGTGCCCGACTTGTTGCCAGAAATATTCTCGTTTATGTGACCTTCCTTCACTCAAAGGGTTGTTCCCCATCTTTTTGTTAAATACAATTGCAAGCTTCCACGGCAAGTCATGTGAAAGTTCTCAACTGTTCGTGTGAAGCTGCGTCTAGAGCAGTGTGCCGACGTTTCGACCAACATATCGTGGTCTTCTTCAGGTCTGACGTGCCAGCATTTTTGAACTATTTGACACTCTTGTTCGGTGCCTGGTGTCCCTAAGCTCGTGCTCGGCCCGCGCTGCGTGCGTCACATCTTTCGTCGCGCAGCTTTCTCTATCGGTCCGCTAGACGTCGCATGATCTCAACCGTATACAGCACTGCTATACAGTCGCGATCGTGCGACATCTAGCGGGCCGACGGAGCCAGACGCGACGGACAGGGACGTAATGGCACCGTGACGTCGGGCCTTGAGGGGCAGAGGTAGAGCGCCTCCTTGCCCGCGTTGTCTGAGCCGCGTTGTGGCTGCGCAGGGCACGGTCGTCGCAGCTGGTGGTGGTGGTGGGCGCGTGGCTGCTGGGCGAGGTGCCCGCTGGCGCGCACGAGGCGCGCGTGGCGGCCGTGGCGCGCCACCCGGGCTTCGACGCCGGCTCGCTGGCGCAGGACCTGGCGCTGCTGCTGCTGGAGCGCGCGCTGGCGCCCGCCACGCCCATCTGCCTGCCGCCCTCGCCCGCCGCCTTCGACGCCGCGCAGCAGCGCGCCTGCGTCGCCTCCGGATGGGGCAAGACGCCGCTGCAAGGTGAGCCCAAGGGCGTTCGGAGCGCAAGCGAGCCCCAGTGGGGCCTCCACTGCCACGGTCGTCAGACCCGCTGGTGTCGCTGCACTGGGGGAGGGAGCGATTCGCCTCCCGCGCTGGGTGGTGAGATCCGGCGCCGCCCTACGTTGGCTTGTAGTGATTTCCCTCCAGATATCTCCCCCAGCGAGGACACTGCAGTGCCTCTGACCGGCAAGTTGTAGGTTCGAGGCACGATGGAGGCAGGAGTTTAAACACTGGCTAGATAGCTTCTAGGTCGAGTTCAGCTGCTGACTAGAGGAGAATTCTAGCGGCCGGCTGCTCTGATCAGTAGTTTTCTATGAGTTTGCCTGTCACCACCAAACGAATGCCGGAACAGTGCTCTAACAAACGGGCGACTGACCGCGCGCGATGTTTCCTTCTTCCTTGTCTTCTCCTCATCCCTTACACACACACTACACTACCACACATGCCGGGAACTTACAGTTCGTTTCAGCTGAGACGGTGTCCCGCAGTCGCAAGAGACCTTATTGGGAAAAACCGCAAGCCGATGAGGTCTTCGCCGAATCTCGTCATTCTTTAGGGGAAGATATCCGCCTTTCTCCAGCGGTAAAACATGCATTACACTTACGGAACTAATGGTCTTAGCAGTTGACACGCCCGGAATCATTTATGAATCAACCGAGCCGGTAAAAGATTTAAGCTCCCAACTTTTGTGTCTAAGGGGAGAGATGACTAGCATGAGGAAGGAAAGATCGTGCGTGGCCCATGACTCGTTTGTTAGGGTTCTGCCCCGGTATTCGCCCATTATTGGTCGGAAAAGTAAAGTAAATACCAAACATGCAGCCGGCCGTTAGTATGCCCCCCTCAGACAGCAACTGAATTCGATCAAGCTGCTTTTTGAAAATACAAGTTTTCGCACAATCTTGCGGGGAGACTCAAGATTTTCTCAAAAAACGGCATCACTTTTTCCTTGCAGAGCAAAGTACGCTTTTAAAAACGACGCAGGTCCTATTTTTTTTTCATTTTCACGTGTTTTGAAAATCGCAGGAGCCAAGGCCTAAAATAGCTTTTATAAAATGTTAATTACGATTTCCTGTTTCTAATGTTGATTGTGTAGTAAAAAGAAATTGATTTGAACTAGTGCTTAAGCAACACATCTCTCAATTTAAATTTCCTGATGAATAGGCCTACCATAAATTTATGTTCATTATTTTCAGGCAATATTCGAGGCAGCCCATTAAACAAAGTACCTGTGACTTTTGTTCCACAACCTCAGTGTGAACAAACCCTCCGTCAAACCCATCTGGGAAAATACTTCATTCTTAATAAGAGCTTCCAGTGTGCTGTACCCAAATCACCAGCACATGACCTCTGTTTGGTAAGCAACAAAACCATTTCCACTTGAAATATATTAAACATTTTTTTTCAATGTTAAAAAATCACCTAGAGGCTAGATTGAATGATATATCAACAATGACTTAAACAAAAAACAAGAAAGTATGACCTATTGCAACATGCTAGCTGCAGTGACTTGCTCTCTTCTAACATTCATCACCTCTTTTAGCAGAAGGGAGAATGCTAACCTCCGTCTTCAATTTAGCATTATTTACGTATTAAGAAAATTAAATTTCAAAAAATGTTATTCTCATTAGTTAATCCCACAAGTGCTGCCATTATGGATATTAAATAATGTTACATTACTTTCTGCAGGTGGATGCTGGTGGTCCAATTGGCTGTGATCGTGGTGATGGTAGGTATTTCCTTGCTGGTTTATACAGCTGGGATGTTGGATGTTCTGTGAAAACAAACCCTGCTGTTCTGGCTGGCATTGACATCACTTGGATACAAAGTGTGCTTGTCAAACCAGTAAATCAAGTAGCACAGGAAGAAGAACAGGAAGCGAGACACAAAGAGACCGTTGGTCAAAGTCCAGATTTTGACACAGACAGTAAACCCGGTTTCTCTCAGGGCTATGGTAAAAAATAAACAAAATTTCTGGTTTTAAGATGACTGTCAATCATAACAATAGAGTATGTATTATATTCGATGTTTCCTCAAATAAGTTTGTTTTAAAAATGTTCTCAGTATTGATGAATGAATGAGGCCAACAACAAATGAAATGAACCTCAAATCATTTCCATTTTGTAGTGCTTGAATTTCGCTCATGTAAATGTATTAGCTACATGTGCACTCTTCATTGTTGTATTGAATTTGTAGCTTTTGCTGGTAGAATGTGAGCAACTTTGCTGTGATACTTAGCTCTGCGTCTTACAATGTGTTCCTTTCCTGTGTTTTAAATGGAAAGTTTACATGCATCTTGACTGAGCAGTAATTTATTTATTTTCAGACATGAAATATACTATCTACAATAAGCATTATAGTGAATACTATTTTTTTTATAAAGATGCTGTGTGCTTGCTGTCTGTTCCAATTGTTGTTCAGAAATAGACAATAAAAATTTTATTCCACATATTAACTGGTTATTGAAGATATGAGTTTATAAGATTTTGTAAATGTAAGAAATTATCCAGATACATATCCTTTACTAACAACTCTACTGAAGACCTGTTTTTTCCAACCATTGTCTAGCATTTATCTTGCATCCCAAACTTTCTGGCATTCCCTTGGTACAAATTTTTACAAATCAGAATGTGACTTCCTTTATTAATTGAAAGAAACATTTCAATGATTTAAACAATATGTATATGTGATTTAATCATGTAATGAAATGTTTTTAAACAGAATGGCCACTCTTCATGCAACAAATTTCCCTTACATTTCTTGGCTCTCCAAGTACATTTTCTCCCTTACAAGATTCACACTATTTATAGAAAACATTCAATAAAAGCAAGGTTTCAGTACCTCTTATTAATTTGATAGCTGTTTTTGCCATGTATTAGAAAAAATTAAGAATTCTATTAAAACAAATGTAAAACGTTTAAAAAAATAACATAGTTTTAACAACCGATGATTTTTAAGGAATAATATCTAATTTTAAAATTATCTCAAACATTTCCCTTATTTCTCAAACTTTTTCTATGAATTTGCAGATTACTCTGATTCTTCTATGTCAATGAAATTCCCTGGCTTTTCCCAATTTTCTAAAATGTGGCCACCTTATTGAAGTTTATACAGTAAAACCTAAGGCAGAATCTGGATAAGATGGAAGCTTGCCTTCTCGGAAAAAAAATTGCAGAATGGAGTATTTTTTAAATGCAAAGTACACTGGATAAACCAGAATCCTGCCCAACACGGAAACAGAAAGGAATTTTGAGTATGGGGGTATTGCAAATTCTGGATAAGACTGAAAACAAATATTGTTTTAAAATTAAACATTGACTTGCAAGCGTTGTGACATTGTACCAAGAGGCACTCCGATCTGTGCTCGTCTATTTACTAACTCAACTATCCCCGTCCAAACATCATGTTTCCACATTACTCATGAGAAATCCAGTGTTTATTTGTAATAGCACTGACCTTCACAAGCCTGTGTGAAGGAAGGAGAGATGCGAAGTGTGATCCTAACACAGTTCTTCTAAATGCGTGCTTCAGGTCAGTGGTTCTAAACATTTACTGTTGCCCAGTTCGATAAGTTGCAGGAATTGTGATAATCAAATGTTTATAATGTCAGGTGGCAAATTGAAAACGTTTACTCTTGGTGAGAAAATTATGCTAATTGAAGAACATGAATAAAGTAAGGTCAAGGTTTTGATAAAGAAATTTAAAGTTGGGAAAACCCAAAATTTAGGACACCTTAAAAACAAAGACAAAATCAAGAAAGAGTGATTAAAATAATTTTTTTTAAAGATGGTTGCCACAATATTCTCGATGACCTAGGCAAATATTCAAAGCCAAATCATTTATCTGTTCGTACCAATATTCAAGAAAATAATATTTCTTTTACTTTATGAAGTTCTTAGTTTCATTAGACTTTGTGTTGTTTCTGTATATCATTTTCTTTGTCTCTCCCAGGATGTCTTTGTTTCTTTGAAATGTAGTTTTATGGTGAGATAAACTACTCATACAACCCCTTCCCTCTTTGCTCGATTGTGTTTTCTGAATAAGTAGCTTTTATTGCAAACCTGAATAAGTCAGAAACTTGTACAAGATGGAAGAAAATGTTGAACCCAAAAAAGTTTGACTTAGACAGTGCTTACTGTATCAACTTTCAATTACGGTGATAACATCATTCTTGAATATTTCCTAAAATTCTCATTAGATTGCTATTTGTTTTAGAATTTTAAGTCTGAAAATTAAATACAATCCCTTCTAAATATATTATTTAATAAATTGTTCATCAAAAATAATAATAACTGAAAACAACTTTGGGGGAAGAAATATTATCTGGATGTGTTTTCTTGACTTCTCTCTCTACTACTGTACATCATTCAGTTATGAACAGTGGTACCAATGACTGTGGCTGACATTTGAAAAGTAAATATTTCCATTCATGTGAAATAAAAAACTATTCTATTTTGGCAAATAAACAACATATTTGATTTTATAGAATTGTTAACAAAGTAACTACCCTTCCCTCCTCTGCTGACCACCGTTATCAGCAACTAGCGAAAACACTCCACAAGTCATATGCAGATACGAAACAATATTTATGTTGAGAAGTAAAGCGCTGGGTCATCTCATCATTTGTTCAAAGAATCAAGGGCCAATAGATGAAAACCTGATTGGGATGGGGTCATTGGCCTAGCAGCTTAAGTTCAATACTTATTTTAGGGATGTTCAGTATTCTATAATTGGACAGCTTTTATATACACTTTTATTTAAAATAATATATTTTTTAATATAATTTATTTAATGGCTTTGCCTTTCACCCGGTATGGCTTTGCGCAATGTTTGCATGTTGCCTAATTTTTCTGTTAAATATTCCATTAAAATGCTTCCCTCCTAACAACTTCACAATTAAAAATGGCAGTTGGTTCTTTTCAATTAAATTATATTAATATTTATATAAAAGGGACATAGTTAAGTTTGGCAATAGATAACTGGATATTGTATGTATATATGTATTTGGCGTGACAGCCCAGAATGGACTCAGACCTACTGGCGACATCCCTACCTCACGGCTGTGGGTTAAGGGGGTATGTGTGGTTAGCACATAGACATCCCCACGCCGTATTCCGGTTTTCTCAACCTGAGAAGTGAATTTTCTCATCATCACACAGCAACATATACTGGGGCATTGCAAGAAAAACGCACATTATATTCTTGCCAGACCGGGAATTGAACCTGGGGCCGCGTAGAGGAAAGCGCAAGCGCACTGACCAAGAGCTAGCCATGACAGGCAACTGGATATTAGATAAAAAATTTAAAATAGTGACATAATAATGATAAACTACTTAATATAACATTCGAAACAAAGCATATGATGAATGAATGGAATAATATTATTCTACTGTGAATTCTGCAACCATTTCAAAACCTTTTATGTCCTCTTGAAATGCAGTAAGCCTAATTACGCTTTTCTACAAAACAATGCTCTGGCACTGTTTGGTATGAAGCAACAACAAATCTGATGTCATTAAGCTTTTCCTTGCTTGTTTTCAGATCATAAGGAAATCAAATTAGCTGAATGAAATTTGTTTGATTCTCTTCCTGGAAATCAGTCCTTAATATTCAGTTGAATGAAATTTGCTGGGGAATATCTAGTTTTCATCTGAAGAACAAATGGTTTGCTTCTGTCAAGTTTAATTAGAAGAATTGCAAGCCAGATTTCATTTCCCTTAGTGTTGATCTTCCTACTGGTGATCATTTTTTCAATTTCCATGGTTCCTTTGAAGTCATCCTTCAGCATTTGTAATACAACTATTTTCCTCTTTTTGCAACTTCCTTCCCTCATCTTCATTGAAATTACTTTTTGAGGGCAGATTCTACATTACCAAAATAAGGTACAGTGTTCTGAAACAAGGTACTTCAGTGTCAAAAAACTCACCATGTCTAGAAAGACAAACAACACATTAATAATAAGTACCATTTTTATTTTTCAGTTCTGACCCCCACTGAAGTCAGACTATAAAATTAAGATTTATGTTATGACATTGCCTTTCACATGCCGCAAAACTTGTAAATGTTGGTGCAAGAATAAGTTGTGTAGCGATAAACATATCCCGTTTATCTGTAATATGTTTAAACTTGATCATAATAAAAACATTAGCAGACATATTGAATTAACTATATGATGGAAGTTTCGTAGGACAAACTTTGGAAGCATAAAACATTCAGTCAAGCCATCAAATAATACAAATTTGATTTATTTTCATTATAAAATAATGCACATTTGTTTTTAATCAATTAAAAAATACACAAAGAAAATACATCATATTCCAGGAACCCAATAGGAATAGTTGCACATTTTTGATGCTTTACTTTATTTTCTTAGTTTGACAAATAAATTGTAAATTAAAATTCCAAGTAATTCTGTTAAAATATTGTTACTTTGGGTGAAAAATACTTGAAAAATTCAAATGCCAATTCAACCACTTTTCACAGATATTAGAACTCATCTTTTTAAAACTAATATAAAAAAGAGAGATTTGTTTGAAATTTTTTATGCATAAATGAAAAAAATTACACAATGTTTGCACGTTGCCTAAAATTACTTTGCATAATGTTTGAGCACATTGCACAGTAAAGATCTTAGCTATTTGTATGAAATACGAGGGGATCAAGTAATGTGGGCGATTATGGGGCTGTCATGTTTTGATTGCTTCTGGCGTAGATAATAACAAATGATCTAAGATTCTACTCTTTTGAAAAGTGTGAACTATCTTTCTTGAAAATGTTAAATATTGAGAATATTATATGCATGTTGTTTTCTAACACAACAGTATTGTCAAAATATTGGAGTTTTTATTTTGCGCCTACATTTTCTTGATTTCCAGATACGTGTTTTTCTCTCTTATATATGTCTTCCCCCTTCAGTCCCTTGAAGAATGAATAAATGAGAGTTTTATTGCTTATGATTTTAAACTTAATGGGGTGAAGGAAGGCAGGATGCTTCTGGATTAACACAAGAATTATCGTTAAAGAAAATAAAAATTACAGAATGAAAAAGAGTGAACTTGCATGATAAATCACACAAAAGCACATGTTATGTTGTAGATTGAAAGAACTGAAAATAGGAGTGTAACAGATAAATAGAATGAAATATTTCAAAGACTTATTACCAAAATCAATTGCTTACCATGTAATCAAAAAATTTGAGCTCTTACATTTTAAAAAATGGGATCAACAATACACAGGGTGGCGACTCACTTCTTCAAACAAATTTCCCTGACTTTTTCTGGTTTTCTAGTGCATTTTTCTTATCTTGATAAGATTTGTAATTTCACACTACTTAAAAAAAATATTAAAACTACCCTGTTAGTCATTGGTCAGTTTTCTTATTTTACTGTGACAAAGTACAAATTGAAAATATTTCCTTAACAAAAATTGAGCAAAAACTAACACTGAACTAAAGTTTTTAAGAAATAATATCTGATTTTATAACCCTTCCGAACTTTTCTCTGTCTTTTAATAATTCCTCAACAAATTCCCTAACTCCCTAATTTTCCCCGACTTTTCCAGAGTTTACTCTGGAAAAGTCAGGGATAAAATTTCCTGATTTTTTCCAGTTTTCCATGCTTTTCAGAAAGTGTCAACCCTGATGAAATGTAGGACTCCATATACATGTAACAAAAAATTAAAAAATACCTGCAAATGATTGGATTGTATTAACAGAAAATTTTTATCCAGCAGTATACTGAATCGTCTATACAGACACTAATAGCTAATGAAACTATTTCAACCATACTCGCACCATTGTAGGATTACGAATACATTTTGTTAATTGGTTAATTTATAATTTATTAGAACATGAACACAATTGACTTAATGAGACCCTCTCTGACAGATCCTTGTTTATTTTCATTGCAAAATGTGAAGACTGTTGATTTAACTTGAGTTAATGGAGAGCATAAACCAGCAGGATACCAACCTTTTGACTTAATTGTAACAGTTAAAAAATAATCAGTATTTGATTTACAATTTTTTGGACCATCAAAAAAAATTTTAGTTGATGAGTCATATTTAACTCTAACTGACTTTGTGACATTCGCGACTTGAAAGTTCTGACTACGTTCCTACGAAGGTTTACTTCAAATTCTTCATTGTGAGTGCCACTGTGAATCATTGGAAGGGAGTTCATATCTAGCAATTCCACATCATAGGAGAAGAGTTGAGTACGAACCTACGAGGTTTATTTAAAATCAAAATTAATATTTAGAAACTCATAACTACACAGATAAAACACAAAAGTAAGATAAAACATACCTCAACTCCCAAAATGTTGATTGAATAATTGGTACGGAAACAAATAGAACACATAAGGCTTCCATCATTTAGCAACAGTGTTTCAAAAAGCACCTTCCTTGAGCAAAAACGTTCATAACCATTTGGAATCTCTACACTAGGACGTTTTCGAAGCTCTCTACAAACGGAAAAACCCTCTGGAACTGATGGTGCTGATTTTACTGATGCTAAATTCAACAACAATGCAAAGCATTCTTCAAGAGTGAAAAGAGGACATGGAGCAACTTCCTTTGAGAAAACTTCCAGTGAAAAGGTTAGGAACCGAATCTTCGGTAATACAGTTTTCAGAAGAGACCTCTGTTCACTGATATTGTTTGTAAGACCTGTGAACAAAATTAAAGGATGCTGACTCTATAAAAGAAAACAGTGTCTTGCAGTCTTTTTTATCTTTTTTTTTTATTGGCTCCACACAGACTTTGCTGCGACATAAATTGCCATGCATGAACAAAGTCCACATTTAAATATTGAATTTTAATTGTTAAAATTAGGTATTAACTTACTTTTTTTTTAAACAGATTTTGTATGAAGAGAATGAAACAAGTACATTTGAAAGAATTGCAATAATAATTTGAGTTTCTAAAGACTGTCATTAACAATTTTGTTTAATATTTAATGTTTCATGTACTATAAACAGTCAAATATTTATGTCTATAAAATAAGGAACATTAAAAATAGAAACTTAAAAAAAAAAAAAATCCAATAATACCTTATATTAGAGCAGTTTACATGAATGAAAAAATACTGTTTTTTTTTGTTTTTACACCTAACACATAAATAAATATAACTAAAGATAAGCATTTTTGATATTAACTTTCTTCTTTTACATACTTTCATTTAAATTGTCTTTTCACCAACAAGAATTAAATAATATTATTAATTTTAATAATATTACAAATTATCGCCGATCCGGTGGCCGCAATCGCTAAGGCAGTAGTGCCGTAGCGATCTCATATCGAAAGATCATGGGTTCGAGTCCCGCCTCGGGCATGGTTGTATTGTGTTCGTCCTTTCACCCCCTATCATCCATCATCCTCCATCTCTCATTATCACCTTTCTGAATAACATTCAGAATTGTAACTCGAGGATTTATCCTCACCTCAAGGTGACACCTTCGACAGTCGACCATGAACAGTAAAAAGTGAAGTGGAACGACTCAAGTGGTCCAATGTGGCCAATCAAGTTAATAATAATAATAATTACAAATTATCACTGAAACTAAATAATCACTGAAAAGTATCAATCAATAGATAATAGTCAAATGTGGGTTTTTAAATTTTTACTTTCTCGCCTTATGAATTTTCTCACCTGATCCTCTAACTTATGGTGAAGCCAGAATCCATGTTTTGTTGGTTCTTGATACCGAAAAATCGTTTGAGGGCAAAATGTCCATCTGTAGTCAATGCTAGCGCCTTTTCTGTTCATCTGATCAACAGATTTTCTTCAAAATCGATATTCCCTAATTGATCTGTATGGACTGAATGCTTTGGAAGTTTCTAACGGATATTTTGATTGTTGAAGGGTTTTTTACATGAATCGGGCATTTACTTTTTTATACCTTTGCCCAAGTTCGACCCACTAGGCACATCTGTGGCCTAGTGGTATGAGTGTCAGCACGTTAACTCTGAGGATTTGAATTCAAGTCTTGGAGCGGAAAAATAATTTGCTGCTTAAAAACTCATTTGCTGGTAAATGTAGTAGTATAATGTGGCAAAGCATTTAGAAGCAATGCGAGAAAGTATGTGCTTTGGAAGTACTAGTCCTTTTCTAATATGCAGGCTATTGTGTTAAGTACTAAATGAATGAGAATTCTAATAGTAGAAAATAATACAAACCTCTTCTCATACATTCCTTTTTAGCCCATCTTTCAATTGCTTTGAAAAGAACAACTTCTGATTCCACCTGTAACTCAACAAGATCAAGTATGGCTTCAATTGTAGTAAGTTCAGCATCTTCAAAGGAGGAAGCATTAATAACCTGATTTGTGTGATGTGATATAAGCTGAAAACCATTAAACATACTTTTCAGAATTTTGAGTTCATTACTTCATAGAATAACAAAAGTAAGTAAAAGAAAAGAAAATTAGAAAAGTAATTAATACAATAATATGATATAGAATTTATGACAAGAAAATTAATTCAAGAATATAACAAGTTGGGTCTAAAAGTTAATATGGAGAAAACTAAACATAGTATGGTAATTGGGGATAATAGGAAAGATTTGGTTTTAGAAGAAGACATGGGGAAAATAACACCCACAACTGAATATAAGTAGTTAGGAATTAAAATTACAAATGATGAAAAACATTTTACAGAAATTCGGTTGAAAATAAATTCAGGAAAATTACTATTTCAATTTTAAATAGTGTTTAGTGGGATAAAAGTATCCCAAAAGAGACCAAAATTAAAGAAGTAGTTTGGACATTAAATTCACAGTTCAAAGGAAAATTATTGGTAACAAAACTTGGAGAAGATCGGCAAGAATTTCCAGAAGAGACAAAATTTGAAATGAAATTATTAGAAAAACTATAAATGTATCACATTCAATTATATATTATATAAATAAAAAACAACTAACCTGGTTTGGACATGTAAAAAGAATGGAAGAATGGAGATTACCTAAATTATTATTTTATTGGAAAACATTTGGAAAAAGGAAATGTGGAAGACTACCTGTGTCATGGAAACAAGAAATTATAAATGTACTACAAGAGAAAGGAATAAATAAAGATGAGAGTTATAACAGAGAAGAATGAAAAAAATTAATTTATTCACCGATTAAAATTGTATATTACATTGTATTATTATTGTTATCGTGTATTTGTTGAGAAACCGGAAAGATGTAAAAATATATAGACACACAAGCACGCATGCACAAGCGCCGCTCGCACACACAAAATAAGCAAATAATATGAACATTTGTTTTTAACGTACAGTCAGGCATTGCTGCTCCAACTTTTGTTCTTCAAATAACTTGGACATTTCATATATTTGGCACACATTGTCATTAAATACATCATTCTGCAAGTAATTGACACAATCCATTTCCATTTCTGGAATCATATACTTTTTAGCTGTATACCATAAATTACTTGCACACTCCACAGAATCTATATTGGAAATACCAGTATAAATATATCTGGAGAAAAAAAACACAATCTTATCAATGAGTAAATTCTACAATTTTTAAGTTCTTAAATGATATAATGGCAATATGACAATTAAGCAGGACTATGCCAAATAAAGCATTCATAAACTTCATCTCAGAAAATTATGAGAAATTTTGAGCCATCTGAAAAGTTGAAAATATTGAGATCAAAATTTCATTAAATATATTTTAATAAGTTACTCTCTTTAATAAAGTACATTGGATTGAAATCAATTTCACTTCAAGCTCACTTCACCAACACTTCAAATTTGACATTGTAAAAGCCTTTTATCTCCACTCCGTATTAGGACTGTCAGATGTTGTTCTGAATTGGTGGGTTCAGAATGAATTCTGTAGATCTATAGGCTTAAAGATTACAATAAACTACATTTCATTTTATGTCATATTTTTTTTATAAATAATGTTACACATGATCTTATTTTTAAGAAAGCAGACTTTGAGCAGAATCTGTATACAGAGATTTGGCAAACTTACCGGCCTATCCTTCATAATTTTCCTTAATAATAATTTTTAATTTTTCATTAAAAAAAAAAAAAAAAAAAAAACTCACTTGAGAAGAGCATCAAAAGCATCTGGATGAACATCTGGAATTAGAATATCTTCTGGGCTTTCTTTCTCACTTGATAGCATTGCCTCAAACACAGGACTTGATATGGCCAAAAACACTCTGTGTGCTTTGAATTTCTGGAATAATAATAATAATAATAATAATAATAATAATAATAATAACTAATAATAATTTATTTTCCAAAAGAGTTACATTGACAGTGTACAAAATCCATCACTATAAAAACAATAAGAAAGAATACCAATTTTGTTTGACTACATTACATACATTACGTTCTGTTTAACCTTTTAGTAAAAATACTGGTCTTATTAGATTTAAATTAAAATTTATTTTTTAAATTTATTTTATCTTGTTCAGTACACTTCAAACCCACTCTAAGTACTTTTTGACCTTGGTGAGAGGGGTGTGTTACATTATATATTTGTTTGTTTGTTTTATTTTGTTTTTTCTTTTTCGGATTGCCGTTGTTGATTACAGTTCTCCCATCATCTGTACTGTTTGCCAGTTACAGTATGACGCATGAATTGTTTCTATTGAAATTTAGATTTTTTTGCAAGTAAACTCAACAGGCAAAAAGATATCAAAATCATCAAATTATTATCTAAAATAACAAATAATTGTAATTTAAGAGAAAAAGATGTCATTTGGCAACAGGCAAAAATGAGAATTAAGTTATACTTAATTAACATTGTGATAAATTGTATCTAAATTCACAAATCAAGAGCCACATAGAACTTATAAGCCAAATGGGAACTAACATTAACACGAGTTAAATTGTCAAATTGTAAATAATTAGGAATTAAATAATAGGACACAAAACAAAAAATAGTCTATACAGTAAACAATTCACAACACTAATTGAGAGTAACAGGGATATTATACATTATTTAAAAATTATCATATTGTGATGACAGCAGTTTACAGTATGAAGATTTAGCTGTACGTAATTAACAACATAAAATCTTGCAATGACAAAACTAATAATAATAATAATAATAATAATAATAATAATAATAATAACAATAATATTAATAATAATAATTCCGTGGGAGTAGCTGGTCTCCTATCGGACGCGTCCCCAGGTGGCGGATCGGGGAATGCTCTTACCGGCCACGCTGGAGGGTAGGTGGGAAATAAAATATCACCCGTGGACCAAATCCAGACGCTGGCGGCAGCGTAAAAACGCTAGGGGAAGGTGACCCCGAAAAGAAACCCGCGATGGAAGGTCCCTCAGGATCAACCGTTACGGTGCAGGGGATCGGAGCCCCAGTACCGGCAGCCGGGTGTGGGCAAGCAGGCCCCCGGCGGTCGTCAACCAGCGACTGCAATTCCAGAGACGTGAACCGCTTGGCGTCTCTGAAATACTACACTGCGACAAGCGAAAGCCTAGAGCGTGCAGATTTTGACCCCTTTTCGAGGAGGTCGAAACTCCGGAGATCCTCAACGAAGCTTTTTCCGTAAAAAACCCTCAATGAAGCTTTTCTCCTGAGAAGAACCTACCTGTGTTACATGTAGGCCTACTTATTTTTAAGTTTGTCATTTAATGTTGAGTAAGGAATGTCATATGGTTCAAGAGTTTTTCTGATACTTCATTTAATTTAATTAACGGCTTTTACAGCATTGAGGATATATTGTGGGTTATAGTTACATTTACATATTGATCCTACAACTACTTCTTATAAGTCTGCATGATTGGGTTCACCCTACATAATTACAAGATTATCTTTAATCAAGTATAACAACAAACAGTATTGGAATATAATTATTAAAATCCATATTTTTAAAGATTAAAGAGGTTTGGGTAGAAAGTTAACATTCAAAAACTCACCGATCTGAATGCAGTAAGAAGTATATAAAGTATACGTTTTTTTATTTCTTCATTTAAAAAAAGCTGAGAAATACTCAAGCTATACTAACAAAGGCAGTAATTATTATCACTTACTAGATCTGGTGCATTGTTGTAGGTAAGTTATTCAGAAATCAGAAGACATGGTCAGATTAACCCCACTTTACGATATATCCTGTGTCTTGCCTAGGTCAAATCGCAGTTCCGCATTGATGTGGAAGAATACCTCATCAAAATTTGATTTCCTTCTGTCTGGGATTGTTAGAATAGTCACTGTTAACCCTAATATTGTTAATATTTAATTGTTACTATCATATATATTTCATATTGTTATGAAGCATTATCACAAATTGGAAAGATTATAATTATAGTACTGCATTATTAGTGGTAGTGGTAGTAAAATTACAATATTAAATTTATTTTAAAAATGAAACAGTTCAAAGCAATCTTGGATTGATAACTCCTTTTCTATTAAAAACAATTACTATAAGTTACTGTACAATATTTTTATTTCTATCTGTTACAAGTAATATTGTTATTCAGCTTCAAGGTCAGTGATTACATCTTGATCAGGGTTTTTGTCCAGTTCTCTGTGGTCCTTTAAACAAATGTTGCGATGATCCCTTGTTTTGCTTGTAGACAGTAAATGTAAATTCTCTTGCTGCACAAGCTTTTTAGCTCACTTTTCAGGCATGAGAGGAGTGGAGGATAAGATATTTGTCATCAGTATATTCAAATCAAATCTAAAGATCATTAGCCAAAGCATTTCTATTATTTTATTATACAGGAGTGAAAATTTAACAAATATTAAAATGCTTCTTTTTACCTTTTATTCATAACAGTGTGTAGCAAAAGTAAATATCAGGTTTCTGAAACTCAAGATGATTATACTTCCCACACATACACATCACAATTGACTCATCATACATGATTGAAATTGTGACTTAATAAATATTAATATGTACCATTTTGTAATTGCAGTAATTGTGAAGACTGTTTTGGTGAAAAAATTAATTTATTGCCATGTTGTATAAGAGTATTAATAATAATATTAGAACAATACATATCAATTGTTAGGAACTACATAAAATTTAACAATATTAGTACATTCTATATTTAAAACTTGAAATGATGAGGCAGCAAGTTTTGACCAGTTTTTTTTCTTTTTTCTTCTTTCAATTTGTACACATAGTCCAGAGAGAAACATAATTTTTCAATTTTTTTTAGGCATTCTCCTTCTACTTCACAGAATGCGATATGCCATTCTTTTTTTTCTTTGCTTCAGCTCAAAACAGTTAACATGAAACAAAGCCTAACGGGATAAGAAATTATTATTTATTTATAATTTTTAAGGGAAATGTTGTAATTTGAATATTTCTTTACACTGTAGAGCATGTTGTAAAGCAGGAGAGCTTTCAATTTACTTTTAAATGTATGAATTGTGTTTATGTCTTTAATATCATTGCCTGGTTTGTTGTAAAGTGTAATGCCCTCAATTAGGGTACTTTTTTTATAAAGTGTATTTTCAGAGTGGGGAACATGTAGGTTATCCTTTTGACGGGTGTTGTAGTTGTGTACATCAGAATTTAAAGTAAAAGTGTCTTTCCATGAGTATGCATGCATATTTTATGAGTGTGCATGGTACTTTTTGGAAATCCATTTTGTGTGATTTTGTCCAGTATTTTTGCTGCTGTAGGCTATTAGTATTATTATTTTTGTCATTTCTCGAACTGAACAAGTTTTTCTCGATCAAAGAAACAAATATTTCATTCCAGTACTTAGGCCTTACAGTATTCAGAGCTTCTCGGCCTGAACTTACCTTTTGAAGATCCGGCGGACCAACTGTAAATGTGCAATCAAAATGCAACTTATTTTCCCATACTTCTTTTTTTTTTTTCATAATTCGCGTTGTTTTCGATTTCCAAAAACCTGGTCGTTTAAGTTCCAGGTCGTTTAAGGTTGAACCAACAAGAAACATAATAATAATTCACTACTCAAAACAAAAGAACAGTTTATTAAAACTCGTATTATAAAAATGTTTATTCTACACAAATCACTGTTACTTGAACTACCCTATTGCGTACTACTACATCAGCACTTCAGTACCCGAAATGAACTGATTTCGATTACTTGACTTGCTTCGTGTATGACTAGATGACACAAAACCACCTAGTTCGAGGGAAACCCCTGACAGTTGCCATCTTAGAAGTGCATTTACTTCTGAGTATTAACTTGCGTGATAATTGAAATAATACGTGTACAAAATTTATTGCGGTTACTTCCAGGAAAAAGTTTTTAAACTGAGATCCTCATAATCGAGTTTATCGATTGATTTGCAAAGTTAAAGAACATAATTTCATTGCACGTATGTTGGCATTTCGCAGCAGTGGGGAATTTCTGTGATAATCAGTGGTCTAAACTACATAAACTGGATCCACAACTGCAATGCTGGAAATCCTTCTGGAGTGTGATGCCTGATCAATGCCTGATTCTGTGAGTTGGCAAACCTGGAGCGTATTCCAATGTGTCTATTAGCTATTAGTGTGTGTTTGGTGCGGCGTGGAAACTGGAAAGGTTGTGGCTTTATTTCTGTTAACTTTGCTTTTAACTCGAAACAATGGTAAAGTATTGTGTTGCGTGTGGTTCCAAACAGCTCTAGGAAAACAGGAAGGGAGATTCAGTTTCGCAAGTTTGGGATTTCTTTTTCCAAATGTATTTGAAATTATGCCATGGTGCGATACTGTATCACAAGTCTGTAACTATAAATACGATATAAATATGTATTGTATTTCTCCTTTACGCAGATTCCCCGTTTCTCGACCAGAAAAAAAAAGTTCATACCGTCCCAAGAGAAAAATGGAAACCATCCATAAGTAGCACACTGCAGCAAACATTTTCTTGAGGATTGCTATCAGGCTAATATTAATTATAGTATTCATTTGATTCATATAGTGATCTTTCTTTCTAACAGTGTATGTGAAGTTAATTTATCTCACCTGTGTATGCTTATAATTTCTTACATTTGTAGGTTAAATCAGGAGAGAAAGTCATGTTACTAAAATAAGATGCAGTTCCTTCTGTTTGATTTTCCTATTCACCTTGGGGGGGAAAAAGGCGGCCTTCAATGTCATTGGAGCCTTCTAATGTCATTGTAAGTAATTTGAGAACAAGTTTTATATTTTTTCATATCATAATCCTTATGCCAATGAAAAATGTATGAAAGTAGGAATTTTTCATCAACAATGATATGAATTATTGAATTGTTTGACCACATTAACAATGAGTTTGTATGTATTACGAACACGTATATATGATTGCATGAAGAAGGCGATTTTGATGTGGAAGTTGATTCTCAGTACAAATCTAGCAAACAAAATGTCAGGAGACACAGACAGGCCAACCAATGCCATCCTGAGGAACCAAATTAAGCTTCTGCAAATGAGACTGAATCACAGGTATATTAAGATAAATAACATAGCAGAATTAATTGAAGAATTGAGAAAGAATGGACATTTAAAAAATTAATGAAAAAAATGTTCTGTAGTAAATATAGCAAGAAGACAATCACTCCATGCAACCAATGTTAGAGATGAATATTTGGAGTATTTCACCTTAGATATGGGATCAGTGCCGTGGCAACAAATATCCAAACCAAGTTTATATAAACTGTTTTATTTAACTTTTATAGGTCACATAGTTGTGAATAAAATGATCCTCACTTCCGGAGAAGTTGGATATATTATTCCCACTGAATCCCTTGTCACTCCAGGTAAAGACACATCTTTTAAAAACATTAATGGTTCAAAAGCAAACCACTTAGACACGTAGTTGTCATTTCCTCCACTCCCACTTCTCCTTGCAGACACTATCAAATTCTTTGCTGAAGTAGTAATGGAGGCTTTTAATCTTATTTTTTATGTTTACAATTTCACAATTGTATTTTGGTGCCAACTGGCTCAATGCATTTGCAATAATATGATAATTTATAATTTTTGAATATGTGATTAATTTTATAATTTTGAATTGACATTTACAATCCTTATATTGATATACCCTTCCTTCAATTGTGTATTACAGTAATATTTTGTGGAAGAATTCCATAAAACTTTTTTCGTCCTATAATCTTCAATGAACTGGAGAGTGACTGATTTCAAAACATTCTGAAAATAAAAAACTCTTACATTTAATTGTTTCATTAATGTAACTTTCTAAATAAATTTCTAAAACGGGCATTACCGAAAAAATAAAAATTAGGGAATTAAACTTTAATCAGATCAGTTAACAAACACGAAAAAGCAGTGCGATTATAGCACTATGGAAATAGCGTTAGCAGCACTTTCTACCGCCACAATCGAGGGAAAATTACACATAAAATGACCGAATGATCGATTACCATGCAATATAAGTCGCCCGGGATCGCCCGCTAAATTCGGCGTGATAGCGCGACCTGGCAGGTCTCGCTTACACTTTGATTTCGAGTTGGCACATGCGCAGAGATTGAAAAATGCAGTTTGTTGCTTCCAGTTTGGCACTGCCAATTTTTTGTTTCAATTAATCGAAACGAAAATTAGAGGAAAATTAAAAATAGTATACTCGTGTATATAAAACGTTATCCTTATGCAGTATTTGAGTAAAACTCAGAGTGTGCGTATGTACGGATGTGTGCAGTTCCGTCACTCGCGGCTAGACCATTTCTCATTCATCAATTGAGACATGAGATGTCATTCGACGCTATGATGGGAACTGGTAATTTGTTTTTGGATCCGGCCAGAAGATTTAAACAAATTTCCAAAAGCGTTTTGGCGCTGCGATCTTAGTGATAATGCCAAGAATTAAACCATTTCACAACGCTCAGCAACAATAACCACCGCCATCAAGTTCCTCTGTTGAACCAAATTTCCAAAGAGTAAGTACAGTAAACCAAGCAATAAAGCCAAGAACTTGGTGCAATACTTCGGAGTCATCAGACGCTAGAGAGAGCGCCAGTTGGACGCTCTTTGCTTTCAAAATGATTTCATATACATCGATAATGCTGCAATATCTTGAATATTGAATGTCATTAAAAGGAAAATGTATATATTACTCGCGCAACTTTTCTTGAACGATGGATTGAAGAAATGCGGGTAGAGTGGGGTTTTAGTTACGAAATCGGCCACAGATTTTAATTGAAGCCAATGGCCAATCTCTGGGGAATCAGTCATGCCTCCGCACTTTATCAATCAATTTGCGTCTCTAATTTCTCGAGTTCCATGTATTTCCTGTGTGATAATCTTCACCTGCTTTGGTCAGTTTATTTATTTTTTGAAGAAAAATCACGCGGTGCAAAAGTTCTCGATCTTCAACGCAGAAATAGGTTTCTATTTCGGCGCCAGTGAAGATGTTTGCAATGTGTGTCATCAGTGCACGCTTCAGCTTTTGTCTTCAACGAAGTGTTTTGTGTGTCAGAGAGGGGGTGGGAAAGCGATGGTTATACGTTCAAGAAAAGTTGCGCGAGTAATACCTAAGATATTATAAGATGTTTTTCGATTATCTGAGGGGTTGTGCAACCCCTCAGTGCAACCTAAGCACGGGCCGCCACTGGCTGATTATGGTATTCAGAAGTCATTAGCTCACTTCGACGTAATCAAGTCAAGCTTGTGTGAAATAGAATTCTTTCCTTTTTGTATAATGTGCTGCAAGTATTAGTTAAAATTATACTTGTTTGTTTTCTTGTTACAGTTAGAAATGACTGTCCGCGCACTTTTTGTGTGTGTCTGTGTGCGTGTGTGGAGCCCTCGCTTCGCCACTTGCGTGAAGAGGGGGTTTTGGTTGTTTTAACAATAATTTTATGTCAAATTTGTAGTTTACTTTTCGATGAAAAATAGTTTCTATTACCCGGGAGAGAACATTTCTGGTTATCAGATATTGTCTATATCGTTCGTTGCTATCATTTAATCTTAATTAAATAATGTTGGCAAAAAAATGGAAAGGTATTTCGGGACTCAAAACGTGCGCGTATAATTCATTGCTACCAAAACAAACGAAAATATGCACTACAAGCGCTTGGTTTAAATTGGTCGAAGTTAAGACAAGTTATATTCACAGTATACGTATACTGTGTTATAACCGCGATTTTAGAACTATAGAAATTATAATATTTCAATATTACATAACTACTTTCAGTAATGCCAAAAGGTATGTGCTGTTGCTGCACCCATAGTTTTAGTATTATTTTTGAACATGGATAATGCGTTAATCCTTTTCATGATTTCATAAAATATGATAATTCCGCCTATAATTATTGCGAATGCTGATATGGAGAGTGTTTACTTTCTGTGCTTACTTTCCTTCGTTGCGCTGCGCCGCGCTATATACTATACAATACTCTCTGGTTCTGCGTAAGAAATTTGCGTTAAAATTGGTGGCAGAACTGTAATACAAGAGAAGAAAAACAAATGAAATGTAGAACTTGCAGGTATTGGAGGGTGTTATGGAATTGGCTACGTGTAAAGTAGATAAGTAACGTAATTAATTGTTACAATTCATGTGTACGTGTCCATTTGTGGTTTATGCGTTTTTGTAGTAATGTGTATAAAATGGGGTGATAAACGTTGTATTTGTTGTTCAAATATTATGATACATTTGTTCCTTAATCATAACTAACCAGTATCAACAATAGTAGTGTAAGTTGCTTTGAGCATGCACACTACATATATTAAATTGTAATTGTTGCAGGATTAGATCACATTAATTTTTAGACGTATTTAAAATGGCAAACAAAGTTATTCTTGTCACTGGGGGATCAGGGCTTGTTGGAAAAGCAATTCAAGAGATTGTGAAAACTGAAAAGAAGGCTGATGAAACATGGGTATTCGCCAGTTCTAAAGATGCGGATTTAAGGTTTGTGAAATGTTTGTCACTAGAGGTTTATCACATAATTGAATTATGTTTGTGAGATAATTTATGAAAACTTTTTATTAGTAATCTTAATGAGACAAAAGCCCTTTTTGAGAAACACCACCCTACCCACGTGATACATCTTGCAGCAATGGTTGGTGGTCTTTTTCACAATATGTCACACAACTTAGATTTCTTGGTAAGGTTGTTTGATTTCTCTTTGAATTATAAATGTGGATGTAAAGTGGATGAATTTTTTTGTTTGATATAAAATATTTGTTTTCTTTTCCTTAGCGTAAGAATATACATATTAATGATAATGTTTTGCAAACTAGTTTTGAAACTGGTGTAGTGAAGGTTGTCTCCTGTTTATCAACATGCATATTTCCTGATAAAACCTCTTATCCAATAGATGAGACGATGGTAAGTTGCCACTTTTTTTAAAAATGTTTTTGAAATCATTTTCCTATTACTTTCATTCCATAACTTTCAATTTGTGCGTGTGTGTGTTTTTTAACACAAAAATATGGAAGGTATATATAAGTAGAAATGTATATTCCATATTTATGTTTATTCATTTCTTAATACTTGTCAAAAATGTATTTGTAGGAACTATTTGGTAGTTTGGTTAATTTCTTGGTAATATGGTTTTAAGGGTGAAGTTTTTCACACAAAATTTACAATATTATTATTATTATTGAGAATGATAATATTTTATTGCTTATAGACTTATACAAGTATCATGAAAGGTCTCCTTCAGAATAACATTATCCATTCTTTAACTAGCAATGAAACATCGTCATTTACAATAATAGTCTTAGTACTATATCTAATTTCTTGCAGTATTAAATTTTTACATTACATTACATTACAATAATATATAAGAATCATTATGAATACTTCAAGATACAAAAATACTTAATACGCAGTAATAATTCAATTGCTTATAACAGTTAGAAATTATAAAAATGTAACAGCTTATAATAAAAATTACATTAACATATTGAATTAACTTATAACAATGTTTTATTATAATACGAGTTCAAGAGATATAACATTAGAGTGTAAATATTCTTCCAACCACCTCCTTACTTTTCTTTTCCTCTTCAGCCCCTTCACCTACTTCCACACTTCCTACTCCCCGTCTCATCGGTACATATAACTTCTGTTACAACCGAAAACCCATTCTTGTGTATAACCTGTAGCGTCAAACATCGCCAGGAAAGCAGACAATACACAAAAATAAGAACTATTTTCACATTCTTCTCCAAAATGTACAGTCACTGAAAAATAAACTCACTGATGTAGAAATATTACTTGAGGAAAAACTCAACCACATTTCAGTATTGTGCTTCACTGAACACTGGCTAACTAAAGAACAATTAGATATCACATATATACCAGGTTTCTCTCTAGCCAGCAGCTCATGTTGAAATATTAACAATGCACATCATGCGTATGGTAGAACATGCATTTTTATTAAAGATACTTACTCAAGATACAATTAGTTTTGTACTCTACACCACTCGCACTCATCTTGTAAAAGAGAAACACTTTGAAATATCCATCACTGACTTAACAACAATACAAACATGGGTCTTATATGCATATCGCAGCCCTGCTGGGAATTTGAAAATCTTTTGAAAAAATCTGGAAGTTATTCCAACAAAACTTCAAAAAGCAGACAGTATTAAACTATTCTTTGTGGTGACTTCAATATAAATTGCCTCACACAATCCAGTAATTAAAATCTATTTAAATACTTACTAAAATCATACAATTTACAAACAAACATAAATACACAAACACGAATATCCAAAAATAGTAGCACTGCTATAGATCAAATAATAATAGATGCAAATAACCATTGTTTTTCTGTTGCTACATTTAATATAGGTTTCAGTGACCACACTGCCCACATTCTAACACTTCAAACAGAACCAAAAACCGTGGAACAGACCACTTACAAAAAAATCTGGAACTATTCCCAAGGAAACATAACAATTTTAAAACTTACTTAGATTCGAGAACTGGAATGAAGTATATAAGGCAACTGATACAAATGATAAGTTTAATTCATTCATAAATATATACTTATGACATTTCAATGCCATTTTTCCTCAAAAACTCGAAAAGATCCAAAATAAGAAAATTAAATTGTGGATTACCACAGGCATCAAAGTTTCCTGTGAAAGAAAACACAACATGTATTAAATACTAACAAATAACAAATGTAACTCAAAACTTCATTTCATATTACAAAACATATAATTCGATCCTAAAAAAGTAATCAAACAAGCAAAAATTATGACAAATGACAAGTACATTGCAAATGCACGTAATAAAACAAAAGCTATGCGGGACATTATTAAAAAGATTTCAGCACCTACTAATAATAACAGATAAAATATAGAGCTCCACTACAAAAACCAAGCTGTCCCACCAAACCAAACAAGTCCCACTAGAAATGGCTGATATATTCAATGAACACTTTTCACAAATTAGTAATAAGTTAAAACACGCTTTAAACAATAAAACACACCAACCAAACACTAATATTACACAAATGGTAAATTCCATATTTTTATATGAAACCACTCCCTCTGAAATTTTTAAAATCTTTGGACAAATGGAGAATAAATTCTCAGCAGGCATGGACATCATTCCAGATTTTCTTATTAAACACAGTGCTCCATGTATAGTGCAACCACTCTCTCACATTTGCAATTACTCTCTAAAATAAGGCATATTCCCAGATATATTCAAAAGAGCAAAAATTAAACCAATGTTTAAAAAGGGCAATAGTTATGATCCAATGAACTACAGCCCTATCTCCCTGTTATCAGGATTTTCAAAAATTCTGGAAAGGCTTTTCAATGATAGGCTCAAAAAGTTTCTCAATGCAAATAATGTCCTTACAAATGCACATGGCTTCAGGAGTAATAGATCCACAGACACAACAGTCAGTGTATTTGGACATACAGCAATAAGGTGGTGCATAATGAGTGTTTTGAAGGGCAAAAAAATATTTATTAAATACAGCTGCACATGAAATGATTCTGAGTAATAATTTTCTTGTGTTCAGATTAACTTCACACATTTTATTAAGTTCTGAAAAAGTTGTTTACATACGAAGTTATAATATGTATTTCAAATTATTGGAGGTACTTAGGTTTCCTCTGTTCACGATGTATACAATGCTCTCTATTTGGAGCCAATATTCTCCCCTCCATGAATTTATGTAATCTAAAACTGAAAAGGTTTTAAAAATAGCTTCAATGTACACAATATTTAGATACTAAATACAATAATGAATATGGTTGCCTCTATTAATTCATGCTTACCATGAATTCTATTTACACAATGCTGTCTTTCAGAAAGCGAAGATCAAAAACGGAATTCCTGTGTCTCTAAACATAATCGAAACAAAACTGCAGACATGAACAGTTATTGTTAGAAAAAATACTAAGTATGGTGCAGTGATTTGTTGATTTTTCCAGGAAGGTGGGAGCAAAAGGTTTGGCTGGTGAAAGGAATCCTTCAGCTTTAGTATTAAAAAATTGTCCAAACACTAATGAAGTAATTGCGTAAAATACTAATTCTATTTCATTAAAAAATATTTATTTATTCATTTATTATACAGTCGTGCAGTTAGCCCCCAGTAATTACTTAGGATGTAGTTCTAAAAATATATAATTTGTTCTCAATAAACTTACTATTAAGAGAAATAAAACTCGCAAGAATGCAAGTGTTATTTTTAATTGAAGATAATCCATACATCTACAACAGGGAGAAGTCAATGGTACCCGAAATTAATAATAATTGTATTTAATGTTGTGTAATCAGTATGTTTTGTGACATTTGCAGTGTTAAGTGAACTGATGTTGATTTTAAATTCTAATAATACCAAAAATAATCTATGTCAAATAGAACTTGTTTGGACGAAGACATTTCAATTCAACATTTTATGAGGTTTTCCAAAATTTTTCATTGAAAGGATAAATCTTGTTCAGTCACTTTGTTCTTGAACCTCTTGTATCAAATATTTACTTGAATGAAAATTTTGCAGTGGGAAAGTGCTGAATGATTAAAAATATGTTCTCTTTTGGATGTTTCTTTTCAATTTTTCTTCTCTTCTTTTCTTGCTTTTTTAAATATGTCATTAGCGCAGGGGCATTTTTTTTCTCAATTAAAATATTGTAGCACTCAGTAATAACAATATTGTTAAAACTCATTATTTATAATTTTTATATTTTTAGGAATATATGTTTACCTTATGGTATTCCAGAAACCTTTCATATTTGTACTTATTCTGATTTTGATTTGTACTTTTGTTTCAGATTCACAATGGACCTCCACATCCATCAAATTTTGGTTATAGCTATGCCAAACGACTTATAGATATTCAGAATAAAGGCTACCATGAACAGCATGGCTGTTGCTATACATCTGTTGTACCTTGCAATGTGTTTGGACCTCATGATAATTTCAAAGTAGAGTCAAGCCATGTATTGCCAGCTTTAATTCGGCGAATGCATGAAACTATTCAAAAAGGTATGATTTTTCTAGAAACGAGGAATTAATATATCATTTTTAGGTGATGCTATTAGGTTTTTGAATCTCTTTCAAATTAATGTTATAACTAGGGGCGGATTTTAATGAAATGTCATTGTTTTTCTTTTCACTTTACAACAATGCCGTTTAGTATAGAAATTCATTTTGTGTTATGACAAAACAAAATTACCCATTTTTATATGTTTTTTGCATTTTTCGCTGATTTTGACTAATATGTCATTTTTACCCTTTTACAGCGTTTTTCACAGATTTTATTGATTTTAATATCATTTTAATGTTACTTGTTTCAAACCAGATTTACGAAGTGTAACAAATGTTTGCCACAGAATTCCGGAGTAGCATATTTGATTTCTTAGCTCATTTATTGTAATGTCAGCCATTGTGAGTACAATGTAATCTAAGGTTCCCGTGATGTTTATTGGTGCCATTGCCTGTTCGTGAGATTTTGCGATAAATAAAGGCAGAGATTTCTTTTAAAGAACAGTCCAAAGACAAAGTTTGCAAGCTGAGTTCACTTGAACAAAAGGGAAAAAACCACAATAACATCAGTAACATACCCAACAGCTTGAGTTGTTCTTCTGAAGTGTTTTTGATTAAATTTTTATGTCATTTTTCTTGTTTTTTGGGGCATTTTTAAAGCGTTTTAAGACCATTTTATTGATCGTTTTTGACAATGTTCCAGGTCATCAAAATCTGTCCCTAGTAATAACTAACAAGAACTATTGTATGCTTGATCTAATCTTTCCAGATTCCACTTGTCACACTGTTACACATTCTCCTGAGGAAGTTGTTTCCATTGATGCTTACCATCCTCTCTTATGTTTGAATTATCAGTGTTTCACAGCATATAATGTTATTTATGACTTTTCTAATGCAGACTACTGTACGATGGAATCCTATCTTTGTGATTTATATGCTTTATTTCCAATCCTTGCTTCTCTGATTCTATTTCCATGCTTTACTTCTACATTTATCAGTGAATTGATCTCGTTGTTCCTAAAAAAATCTTCAAAAAATCAAAGTTTCCTCATTGGTATAGTCTGAATCGAAACAAATTAATTTTCAGGAAAAAGGAAGCTCATAATTGCTACAAAATCTTTGACATACCACTGTATTATTCTTTGTTTCCAATCTTAGATATGAATGTAAAAGCCAAGTAAAAGGTGACTTTGTAAGGTTTAATGAGGATCTAACACAACATATCAGTACAGATAAGAGAAACTTTTGGAAATACATTAACTCTAAGAAGACTAGCATAGGTTTGCCAGATTCCACGAGGATGGGTTCAATTGTCTGCGCAAATACTCAAGTCTATGGTAAATGGATTTGCAAGTTATTTCTCCACCTTTTATATTCATGACTCAAGTCAGGAAGATGATTTAAATCTTATTGATAGATCTCTCTGTGTTTTGAACTCCATTGATTTGAGTGTTTCTAATGTACTTAAAAAAATTGCAAAGCTTGACATGAAAAGGAAAACTGGTCCTGATGGAATCCCTACAATTTTGTTAAAACAATGTAAATTTGTCTTCTCCCAATTGCTGAAAGTTCTATTTGATAAATCCTTATTTGAAGGTCTGTTTCCAACGGAATGGAAATCTTCATACTTTTAACCAATCTTGAAATCTGGGGACAAGAATTGTAATTGCTCTATAATTAGAAGTACAATTCTGAATGTAATTCCTAAGGTTATATGGCCATGTTAAGCGCCTCAAATTTTGCTGTTTATATATTTCAACATTTGGCCAAATTAACAGCATCATGATGAAATTTAACACTTTTGCTTTGAGTTGAAATAGCTTTATCACAAAAAAAGTGATTCGGGAATATTTTGTTGTTATTTTACAAAAACATTGTAATTTGAAGGTAATATGCCCACAAGCAAGTTTTGGTCATTCCTGTAGCATGACCATGGAATTAGGGCTAGTTATAGTAATATATAATATAAATTACACTGTTACAGTCTAATCTTACAAAAATATGGCCTGAGTATCAGGCGAATGCAGGAGAAGTACCCCAACACACAGGACACAGACCGTTCTTTGTAGTTCCTTCCTCATCCTTGTATCCTCTCCCCGTACAGTCACACTTCAATACTTTATACTACCACAAAAGTTGGAAGCTTAGAGTTTGTCCTGACTGGGGCAGTGCCCTCTTGGAGACATACCAGGAGGGAATACTTTCTGACAAACTGATGTGTAGTTCTGCATAGAATCTCACCGTCCAGCACGGGAGGAACACTGCCACCTCCTGCTATTTCCATTCTCAATACTTAATGGGTTTCATGACTATAGAGTTGGCCTGCTTGGAAACATTAATCAATCTCATAAATGGGCTGACAAGGTGAATCAGATCCTTCATTCACTATATAGGGAAGTTGCATGTAAAGTATTGAAACAAATATTTGTTGTTTGTGAATGTAAATAAAAGTTATATCTACAGATTTGAAAATCCAATTTTGACTTTCCCGTGTACATACATGTATATGGAGTAATATACGTAGTATAGGGAAAGTTACGTAATGCTGCGGAAAATTGATTTTGATATTTCAACAGAAATACATGTTTTGGTGTCCACAATACCGAGAAAATGATTAACGTCCGTCCGTTCGTCTGTCTGTCTAGTGTATTTGAATAAAGCTAGCACCTAAACCATGCGTAGGGTTTTTTCCAAATTGAAGAAACTCTTGTTCTGAGTGGAAGCTCTGCAATTTTGAAAATCATTCATTAGTTTTTACATGAAGCCCCCCAGTCATTTTCAAAATTTTCTCAAAAATATCTGCTAATTTTTTCTTTAAATTTCTTCTAAGAATATACTAAAATACTTACGAAGGTAACATAGGTCCAATTTTCACATTTAATGCTGAATTTTTGAACATTTCAAATGTTTGACTTCAAATAAAGTTTTTCAAAAACAAAAATTTCCTGTGAAAAAGTGCTTTAAATGTTAAATTTATTGCAGCAGCACCATTTTCTTATAAACGACTGCAAATGTTTCATAGAAAATTGCCAATTAGGATGAGGTTTTACTGTGCTTTAATTTTCTTAAAATAATATTTCTGTTCTACTAGCAAACCGAAAAATTTAAAAAATTTTTTTTTAAATGTTCTTGGGCGGCGATAGATGGCAGCAGGCATGAGTATGTGGCAAAGTCGAATAGCTAGCCAAGACCAAAGGAAATAGAAAACTAATACAGGAAAATCTGTGCCATTTTGTAGAACAACTAGTTTAAAAATAATTTGGCCATGACTTCAAGAAAAGTTTATATTATTTTCCAAAACTTTAACTTAAATGGTGTTAAATGAAGGGAATGTAATGTATGGGAGCAGAGTAAACTTTCTATAATCCGATGTAAAGAACAAGAAATCAACAGAAACTATGCGTCTCAGAACTAATATACCAATATTTCCCAAATTCATCAATATAAGGTATTTGCATGCTAACTTCTGAGGTTTCTTTCTCTCTTCATTTTTTTGTTAACATCGCCATATATCAGTTTAGAGGAAAGATGTTACAGTGTTTCCTTGTAGTTCTGTCGATGGGGAGCCATAAGGGGTTCCACCTGGCAAAAGGTGAGGCAGAAGATTTTATTTTGTTTACATTGTTATTAGGAAGAAAACCCTAAGTTTTCCACATGGAAATGCTTCGGAACAAGTTTTGATAGTAAAAAAAAACAAAAATAATTTGGGCAATTTTTGGTTTTTTGCTTAATAACATCATGCTTGATCTAAGCGCAAAATTTAAGTACAACTTTGAAGGTCATATAATTCTCTATAAATTTGCTTGATAAATTATTTCTCTTGCACAAATAGCAACAAAGTTTTTAAATTTCACCAAATTTTTCCTTTTTATTCTGAAGTTACCCAAAATTACTATTGGTCTCTCTAATGTTGTATTATTCACAAGGTCATTATAAATAAAAAGTGATTAAATAACAGTAAGAGTAACAGTAGGCAGATATGGTTGGTAACAAACATGATTTATTTCCATAAAAATATTCTAATAGAATAAAAAAACAATGTCCGAATTTTTTTTTTCCTATCGAAACCATGGTTGCCAGATTCTTATGACATACATCCGCCATCAGATAGTAGTTAAGCCACCCAATCTTTTAAAATATGAATTTCATAATAGTATTTTATGTTTCGTATATGTAAACATATTTATTGTATTATAATCATTACAATTTTATAAACATATTAGTAAATATATAATAAATAAACTAAATCAACATTATAAACATTGTGCATATCGTTATCAAACTAGCATCATTATCATCTCTAGCAAATCTTCTCCTTCTGCGGTAGAGTTCGACTTTTGCCTTGGTGTGCCCAAATCTTTAGGATTGCGCATAGATTCATAGATTTGCGATGTGAAGCGCATCAGCATGTCCTGAGGTGGTTGAAAATCTATACAGCACGATTTCAAAACTTCCTGTAATAATCAAAATTGTATACATTAGACATTATAATTTGAAAATAAACATTTATTCATTCTTTTAAATTAAAAAACAAAACTGACGAAATTTTCATGGCAATATTAGTAATTGAAATATATTAATTGCATTTAAATAATTTGAATATATAGATACCTTTAAATGTACCCAAATGCGAATAATGCATTGCAAAATTTCAAGCTGCATTGTGTTTCGAGCTCGCGTCTTTACAGCGTTGATTATACTGAAAACACGCTTGACTACAGCATTACTCACTGGCAAAGTGAGAGCTTTTAAACAAATATCTGCCAGTTCTTCATATGGAGTTTCACCAATTGCGTTTGATAGTTGCCTGACGTGATCCCAAAATTTCACGGAGTCTATTTCCATTCCATCAGAAAACTCAGGGCTGAAATCTTTAAGCGTCAGCGTTTTCAGCGAACGCCATTGTGCCTCCAGCTTGTCAATGTCAATATCTGGAACGGAGTGCATAAAATCATTTAATAAAATATTATCAAATAAATCTATTAATTTTCTATTCATTTTTAATTATTTACATTCTATTGGTCGTCCTACAGAAGCTATAGCATAATTTGGTGCCATCAGTCATAGCTCTTTTATTGTAGTAACGTTGTTGGGAAGTTTTTCTAACAACTGTTAAGTCAAAGTGATTAGAAATTTTGTACATCGTTCACGGACCACTAAGAGTTCCTCATCCGTAACTCCAAAATGTGGAGAAGACTTCATTTTGTTGCAACTAGCGCCCAAATCTACTGGATCGTTTGGCAGGTAGTTTTCGGTTTTGCTTAACACTTCTTTCAACATATCAATTTCACATCTGCGCAAAGTATGTGTGTTTTCTGATTGATTGAATGTGGTATCAGAAAACGTGTAGCAAGTGAAAAGATCAATGTAAGCAGATCTTTATAAAGTTTCGTCACATCACCGTGTTGATTGAAAAAGAAGGTTAATTTCATTTAAGTCTTCAGAAATGTTAAATATAATAAATTTGTCTGATCCTGGTACATCATGCTCAGTTGCCTTGCAGTAAAATCTTTGGAGGAAGCCACCACGTTAAAGAGCGTTTTCAGTTCCAACCATTACTCTAGTATTCGCTTAACTGCTAGATAACAAATCAACCATCTTGTCGTGCAAAGCTTCACCAATTCAGGTGGATCCTTGAAGTCATTCATAGCCTAAAATAATATGAAAATTATTTGATTGTTTAGGATTATTAAGAATTTTTATCCAAAAAGATAAAGTATATGTTTATTATTTCGATAATTGTTATACATTATATACCTTATACAGATTAGCGTATTCTTTATGCTTGAAGCTGTTCGAAAACCAATTTCTACTTTCTCGAATCAAAAATTCCACCGAACAAGGTAGTTCTGTACAGGCTTTCGATGCGCAATTGCCTACTGTGTGGCATATGCATTTTATTAACTGCAAGTTTGGTAAATGTCTCTCTCAACAAAGCAAACAAGGAATGTTTTTGGCCACACAAATTGGCTGCACCATCTGTGCCAAGAGATGTCAGATTCTTCAACAGCAACTTAATCGTCTTAAAAAAATCAGTAAATGCAGTGTACAATGCTTCCGCAGTGACAAGTGGCACTTCGACAAGGCCTAAGAATTCGGTGATTAAGTCATTCTTTGTCCTGCTATAATATGACACGCATAGTGCCAAATATTTGATGCTCGATATATCCGTTGACTCGTCTACAATTACAGCAAACGGAGTTTCACCGATATCCTCAATAATTTCTTTTAATATTGATGGACCAATGACAGATGAAATTAGTTTCGAGCACTTGGTTCGATGCAGTTTTAAATTCTCCAGTTTACTACCTTTCCTTGTTACCATAAAAGCGATCCTAGGTGATCGATACTAGACACAAGAGGTGTACATCGCGGTAAACACAGCCAGCCGAATGTCATTTGTTTTTGCCAAATTATCAATCTGAATGTAACTTAAAATAAATAAAATCATAAAAATATAATAGGAAAAACAAAAAGAACCAATGTACAGTTAGAGAAATTAATGCTTTGCCTTTTTCGCAAACTTTAAACTTGAAAAAGAAATAAGCACAAATTCAATTTCTATATTCTGTTTATTAATGCTTTTATAATTTACATAAGGATTAATAATAAATCTGATATGCCTTTTCCATATCTTTAAATATGAGTTGCATGTAATAAAATAAGTGTAAAAAACATGCATAAAATTATAATTTATGTTTTAATATATACATATAATAAATTTATCTTGTATTGAAGACTTTTTGGGTAAACTCCAATCTCCGGCCACCTAAGTGAAGTTGGCTTAAAATACATGACATTTCAGTGAAGAGATTAGATTCTTAGTAACTTATTGAAAATATTGAAATATATACATATTGGAAATATTTTTTATGTCTAACTCCAAATCTTGCTCTTTTTACCAAAAAACAAAACAAAACTGTATTTTGTAGGCGCTGTAATAGCTATGGAAGGGCGTATAGAATTTATGCTCAGTTTTCTTTTCGTCAACTTTAAAATGTTCCTGGTACCGCAATTTTTACACAGTTGACTTCTACTTTTTTAATTTTTAAGAGAATTTAATAGAAAACAAATTATTATTAAATAAATAAATAAGTTTTTCTATTTTTTGAAACTCATTACTAATTAAATATTAAGCATAAGAACAGCTTCAAATTAAAAAAAGAATCAACAAAATCTGTTAAAAATTCTGGAAAATGTTGGTTGGGAATTATTTTAATATATACAGATCGATTAGTACCAAAACTGTCCAATCTCCACTGAGATGTCTTCCCAAGAGAATTTTCGCGTGCTGTATGTTTTTTCGTACGACAATGATCCAGAAGATCAGATTTATGCGCTCTCAGATTTGTTGCACACAACTTGCAGTAAGCTTCACCTTTTCCGTCATTGACTGCTTCTTGCGTCGAAGGTTGAATCCATGATAAAGATTATTTTAAAAATAAAAAAATGTTCAATGTTCACGAACAAAAGATCAAGGTAACTGAAGTTTATCAATGAATTTAATTCACTCACCTTTAAAAGATGGATCACTTTCTCACTATTTTTTATAACATTTTAGATATTTTCCCCACTTTCTCATTGCTTTTGAATTTACCTCTTACAAATAGTCAAGTGGATTTAATACATTTTTAGAAACATCTCTAGTTTCAAGTACGGTTGTTGAATTCTCCGAAGAATGTTATGGTTTCGGGAAACTCCTTTGATTTTCATATAGTAATATACAAGAGTAATTTTGAGAATTGAAACCAACCATGATGTTTGGTAAAACATATATAGAGAGAGATATTGTATTATTTTATCTTCATTATATATTCGGTTGAAATTCGGTATATATTATATACGTATTGTTTAGTTTTTTTCTTTTATTTCTAGCCCAATTTGCGGCATGCAAAAATGAATTCCGCCCTTCGGGCAGAATTTCGCCAATTGGTATTTTCTTCCGCAAAGTGTACCCCTTTTCCAGCCCTAAAAGCGGGATTCCGCCCAATCTGGCAACCCTGATCAAAACTTGTCCTGAAGTATTTCAAGGTGGAAAACTTGGGGTTTTCTTACTAATAACGATATAAACAAAATAAAAAAAAAAAAAATAAAAAAAAATCTTTAGTATATATTTATTATTTTAGATAGAAAGTGAGTGAAGAAGACCAGGACTTTGGGAGGGGTACAGGGCAAAACAGGGTAATTGCCTTTGCAAGGCAATTTTTGGCAACCTTTTGCAAGGCAAAATGACTTTTCAACTGCACTACTGATGGTACTGCTATAGATTCTAAGAAGTCTTGTCTGTGTTTTCTTTTTTTCTCTTCTCCCTCTCTCCCTCCCTCTCCCTCTCTCTCTCTCTCTCTCTCTCTC